CGTAGAGATTTGATTGATAACAAAATACTAAAAAGGTTCTCACCCCAACACATTATGTTTCCACCGTTGAATTTCACGGTAGGCCGAATGTACTTGAGTGCGTATCGCTTTCCAGTCGGTCGCCGAATAAGATGGCTTCCATCCGCGTGAAATAAATTGATTTTTGTCTCATCGGTAAATAACACTTTCGCCCAATCACATCTCGTCCAACCTCGGTAGGTCCGTGCAAAGTCAAGGCGCTGCTTCCGGTGCTTAGAATTTATCAGAGGTTTACGGGCAGCCCTTCTTGCATATAATCCAGCATGATTTCATCGTCATCTGATCCTTTCCGGCGATACAACTTTGTTAAATTGATCTCTCATCATTTGGCTTCCATCGGTTGGTGTTTTGTTAGGATCGTTTTTCACCATTTGGATCACGGCTCGATCTCCTTTTGTGGTTGTGATTGGTCGTCGGTCACTCTTGAGGCCTCGATGAAGGTTTCGATCGACTTTTGATTGAGAAAGAATGCGGCGCACCATCCTTATCGAGCAATTGAAGAGGTTGGCCACATCCTTTACCCGCATCTCATTTTCCCCGGGCCTTGGCGATTCGGAGCTTCTTCGGAGTGTCAAGGCTTTTCTTAATAATCTAAATAATAAAATAAAATACAATGAATGTTCATAGAACGAAAAAATAAAAAGAATAATCAAGGAAAACATCAATGAGACTTTTGTGGAGCTATTTGTTAAGTGACTTATTGTTTTTGTTTTCTACTTTGATTTTTATGCAATTTATACGGATAAATCTTATAATCTTGAAAAGTAGAGTATTATGGGTAATCAAAAAACCCTACACTTTTTGGGAATATCGTTTTTTTGCAAGATTTTCGTACGAAAGAAACTTTTGGATTGCAATGGGACAATACTTTTGTGGACCACTGTATATTGGTACTCAGGTCCGTATCCAGAAAAGAAAATCTAGGGAGGGAATGCTTGTTAATTTTTTCAACCACACTTTACATCTATTGGCAAAATTTGCTTACAAAATGTGGTCGAGAAAAGTAACAAGTACCGTTATATTGTCATTCTTTGCATTTTAGCAAACAGCTTTGTTTACAAGTCAGATCTGATCGAATCTGATCAGCTTCATTCTGTACTCCTGTACTCCTGTACATCTGTACATCTGTACATATGTACTCCTTTTTATCCGATTGATCTGATCTAACATCATATGACTGGAATTCACTATAATTCAAAGTAGTGTTCAATACCGAATACTTTTAGTGCTTTGGTGTGGAAATGCTTGGAGATGTTTGCTACGAAAGCGTTTGCTTTGAAGGCTTTTGTCAAAAAGCGGTTTTTTTCGTATTGCTATTTCTTATTGCTAACTTATTAACTCTTTCTAGCCCGTCATAGAAGATTCAATAACTGAAACCACTACTGAGGAAACAACAACATCTCCTGTTGAGAACATCGAACAACAAACGACAACTGACCTCCCAATCGCGACCAATGAAGATGCCACCGCAAGCGTTGTTCACAAAAAGGAAGTTGGTTTATTTTCTTGTCTTTAAATCCTTGATTGTTATTGCTTTGAATTCTGGATTAGTGTACCCGTCGTTGATTTCAGCCTTGTTGGAACAGACATCAGTGCTGTCAGCCTTGGGCAAATGCGGGGGAGCGTGAAAGAAATCCCAGCTACATGGGATACATTTGCGGTGCCTCGTGTAAAGTTTGCAATCCTAGCTCTGCAATTGATGACGGTAACGTTTATTGAAACGTTTCTGGGAATTCATTCAGATTGCTCTGATCGGCACTCGACTTGCTCTGGGTGGGCGGCTATCGGTGAATGCACAAAGAACTCCGTTTGGATGGTTGAGGTAAGAAAGGTAAAAGTAAACTTAACTCTGATAACTACAGGGTGATCCAAAAGTTCCCGTACAACTTTTTACTAAAACTTGATTTTAATGTTGTTGACCTTTCCTTGTAGGGTGATGGGAATGAAATCAGCGCTCACATATCTTTCGAAATAAAAAGATGGCAAGTCTCAACCATTAAGTGTGGTATACTGTTCGAAAGCCCTGAATCTCCTCTACAAAATAATGCAGAAAGATTTTGAATTGGATTGATTATTGGGGACTTGGGTGACTTTTAAGTTGAAAGGCCAAAAATGATCATTTTTTGAAAAATGTGTTTCTGGTAATGTCCCGGTTTTTCCTTTAGAAAATACCGCCAATTAAAGTTATATGAAAATAACATAAAAGAACTCTTTTTGTTTGTTCGTCTTCTAGAGCTTCTGTTTTTCGGAAAAGTTTAATTTTAGTCCACTTTAAGCCACAAATGGCTATTTTAGGTTTTGATTTTATTTGGATATAAGCTTCATTTTTGATTCTCTACAACTTTCCAAAATGGGTTTCTTTTGAAGAAAGTGCTCAAACTGTCACATATGACAATAGCCGGCACTTTAAAATACAAAAACGAAGAGCGCCAGGTTGTACTCTGTGCGCGAGCACAATCGCGCTCCTTCTGGCATCCTATGTTTGATCATATAGTTCCCTTTTCATCTCTCAAATCAGAAGCGTCCATTTTGGGTCATCCGGTAACCAATCCGTTGTCTGCCCCATGTGGTCACCGCTTCCCAAAACTAACCTCGGCTGTAGAACTGGTGAACCCAGTTCCGGCTCATTTTGACCATTATGGCGGGTTCTCTGTCGGTCGAAATGGGATCCCAAGTGCCTGTAAAAGGGTGCTGAAGGGAGCCGCTGTGAATTTTTGGATTCATCCCAAGGATTTCGGTCCGTAGGGGCAGCAAGAAACTTATGAAACCAAACGAGTAAACGAGCTGAAGCATTGGGAAATACTAGAGATGATGTTGGCCTAGAATCGTAGGCCTAAAATAGCCGTTTGTGGCCTGTAATGGCCTAAAATAAAACTTTTCCGAAAAACAGAAGCTCTAGAACAAAAAACAAACAAAAAGAGTTCCTTTATGTTATTTTCATATAACTTTAATTGGCGGTATTTTCTAAAGGAAAAACCGGGGCATGGCTATTACCAGAAACACAATTTCCAGAAAATGGCCATTTTTGAGCTTTTAACTTAAAAGTCACCCAAGTCCCCAATAATCAATCCAATTTAAAATCTTTCTGCATTATTTTGTAGAGGAGATTAAGGGCTTTCGAACAATATACAACACTTAATGGTTGAGACTTGCAATCTTTTTATTTTTGGAAAGATATGTGAGCGCTTATTTCATTCCCATCACACATCCACACGAAAATGCGATCGCCACAGAATTCCGACATGCCTATATACATTCAATGCAGAAAATCATGCTGATTCCAAATCTAAAAAGAATTTTAAAATCCAGTTTTTTAAACATTTTTTAAATACAGTTTTTTAAACATTGCAATATATAGAAACGGCTAAAATGACTTCTCTTTGAAAGGCAAATTCTCGATGCCACAAGCAAACTACTTAATTTTAAATAGTAACTTTTGTCAACAAGACTCTTGCGCTTCTTTTGAAAATAAAAACATTAAAATTGGTCAACCCTGAAAAAACTAGTAGCATTTTGAATGCGAAAGTGGCGTTTTTCAACTTTCCGCAATTTTTTCGTTTTTTCTTTTCTTTTTGTACGAAAACCTAGACTGAAACCATGTTTTTCGGAATCAGCTTTGAAAATTATCCTAGAAAACCCGAAGCTCGTTCTTCTAGCAATTGTAGTTTTTTTGAAAAACTTTTTATACTTTCTTTTTTTCTTTTGCATGTCTACACTTTTTTGCGTTCCTCTTGAATAAAGTAATTATATAATATAATAATATCATTACTACTTGACAGAATTCCAAAGCTTGAAACCAATTCGGTGTAATATTTTCGATCAGCCAAACCGATCTGATCACCAAGCCAACCGACTGAAAATCGCTTTGAACATGACAAAACGGGACGCTCTGCGCGAGATTTCAAAATGGTTTTCTTCTATAAACTGCATAAGCTTTTCAAAAAAGTCGGTAAACTGGGCGAGAGTGACGTTTCGAGAAGAAGGAACAGCAAAAGATTAAAAGTCGATGGGACGTCGATTGCTGATTCGAAGGGGGTTTTTGTGAGGATTCGAGAAAAGTTCAAAAAAGTGATTTATCTGAATCACCCTGTAGATCAATGAAGATGAATGGAAATAATGTGAATGTATGAATGAGTGGGATGACCGGCAAAAGAGTAACATTATTCTAACAAGGAGAGGTTCAGGATTGACCGTGGCCTTTTAGCTGGTAAAAACTGATATAAGTTACTTGTAATTTTAGGAAACCAAACCGATAATGTTGACAAAACAGAACAAATCCTCCTAGCTCTAACTAACAACCTTTAGAGTGCAAGATTTCAAAAATAAAGTGCGCTATTCTTGTACCCTATCGTATTCTCTTAGAATTGTAGTTTTTATCTTTTAGTTTTAATTTTTATGCTTTCTTTTTTCTTTTGCATGTCTACACTTTTTCGCGTTCCTCGAATGATATTATATAATTTTCGAATGATATTATATAATTAAAGTAATTATATAATATCATTACTATTGGGTTGGTGAATTGAAAACTGCCGGACTTTGAGCTAAAATTTTTACAACTTTAGGTAATCGGCTGGAAAGTTGCTTTGGGAAAAGAGTCAAAAGAAACGAAAGAATAGTTTAGTGAACATATTTTTGTATTTAGAATTGAACATTGTGCAAATTTTACATGCTTTTCTGGTGTTGTTTGATCTCATTGTTCGTGCTTAACTTTGCAGGGTTTAAAAGGAGATTCCTATAGTGCTTTCACTGTGATAATAAAAGTTTTATAATGGATTTTTGGTAAAATTAATGTGAACTGGATGTAAAAAAGCCATGATTTCGTGAAGGAAATAAAAATTTTATGAAGAAACCAGATCTTTTGTGTGAAATGTGCAGTGGGAAATAAGGTTTTAAAAATTTGCTTAAAAGATCTGTTGGACGTTTTTCTGTTTATCAAGGCAATAGATGTCTTTTTTAGTGAAATGGTCGGTCAAATCCCAAAGAAGTACTATTTTCGACGATTTGGCTAGTCTGAACGGAGAGAGCCGACTCACAGCTTGCCCAACACTCTTTGGGGAAAGGTGAGTGGTAAAGCTAGATTTTCTTTTAGTTTCGAGAAAACACGATTTTTGTGCAATTTACTGCAGTTACATCTAGGTGAAAAATTGTTCTTTTGGGTCAAATCCCCAAAAGAACAATTTCTTCATTTCCTCGTTTTTTTTCTAGTTTTTCTAGTTAATTCAATGTCTCGTTTTTTTTCTAGTTTGACGATGGCGTTCAAGATTATGTGCTTAATCGACTCATCACCGGATTGTCTTCGTCAAGAGCTGCGGCTAGAGTTGGTAAGTAGCTGGGTGTCCTTTGACGTTATGAAACTCAACAAATAGGATGTGTTGGGTGCAATTATGGCCATTGTTTAGGCTTTTCATGTGCTCTTGTGCACTGCTTGCAGAAGTACCCGAAAAGGTGGAAATGTGATGACTTGTGGAAACTTTGCGAGGACAAATTACCGTTAAATGATAAGGTGAGCATAGAGTTTGTTTAATAAAAACTCAATCCTTTCTTTAGGATCAATCACAAGCAAACGCGATCGGGCGTTACTTATTATTGGATTCACTATTTGCTTCGGAAGTGTATAAAAATGTAGGTTATCTACTTTTTTATCACTTTCATTTTTTCATCTTTCAGAACTTCAAATGGATTGCCGAGAAGCAGTTGGCATTGGCAGCACGTTTCCAGTGGCTTTCAATGGGCGTTTGGCAGTCGGTGAGTGATTTCCGCATTTTATTCCAACGAAAGGGCCCATACATAAGCCGTAAAATATTTGATACTACATAGCTAATGAAGAAATTTTAGATTATCACTTCATCTTTCACTTGCTGATTTCCAAAAAGACGTATATCCATGTGTGGAGAAATCGGTAATGTTTTATTATTTAAAAAATTTATTATTCCAAAGTTGATCGCCATTTTGGAGGTAAGCTTTCAGTTAAACGATCGTTTTAAGCAAATTTTAAGATCTAAAAAAGATAGGTCTGGACATTTAGGGTGAATATTGACAGCTAAACAAATTACATTTTAGAAGACAAACTCGGTAAATGTCACTCACTTAATCGAGGTGCTGATCTCGAGTGCTGACAAAACGAATCAATTTGCTGAGGTTGTGCTTTTTTGATTAGTTAGTTAGAAATTTAGCCCATAACTCACTAAAATGATTCTAAATTTTAATGTCAGCTCCTTTTTAAAGACCAAATCAATGAAAATGATGGATGCTCCGGTAGAGGCCGCATATAATCTAGCACTGTTTAAATTTCATTTACCCGTTATCTACAAACAGATATCGCGTAAAATTGTAGTATCTTTAGTGCAGGTTGATACCAAACAAAAGAAACTGTAGTATCTTCAGCATTCTCGATGTCCCCTTCTTCATCCGAGCTCTCGAAATCGGCAACGAACTGCGTTTGACCAGTTTGCTAAATATTAAATCTTTAAACGATTTCCGGCGAAATATACCTATCTCATCATCTCCTTCCAATTCATGCTCCACTTCAAGCTCCCTCTCGCCTTCTTCCAACATTGGCTCGAAGGCTTCTTGGCGGAAGTTGTAAATGTCACCATAGGTCCCTTTCCTAAATGAACAATACGTTTAATAACAAGTGTAATAGTAACTTGCTAACGGAACCAATTCTTACTCAGGGATGTTTTAAATGACAAGAACTCGTTAATCATTTAAAACATGACCTGAATTTGAAAAGAACGGTTAGGCAAGCATAATCCAATCAGACTTACTTCAGACGCCGAAGCAACTCCTTCTCAATGGCCGTGTCCAACTTAGCAGCGATGAGCGCTTTTGCCTTTCTGCGTTAGTTAAAAAGCAGAAAAGCAAAAAAAACTTTATATCAAGATTTGCTTACGAAAATTTCCATGTTAAAAAAAATTTACTTGTAGAATTTGGAAATTTACATTTAAACTTTAGATAAAAAGGATTCAAGCAGAGATGACTTTATCATTCAAAAATTTTCTCGATGTTCGGCAAGTTTGGAGGTCTCTTCTCGCGAAAAGGTTTTCTTTGATTTTATTATTTTGGTCAGCAAGCGCAAATCCGCGCGAAAATGTGTTTTCTATAGGAGTCACGCTTCACATTTATATAACTTTTATGAAGGACCAGGTTCTGGCCATTTTGCAATTAAAAAACAAAAATCGGACCAATTTGAACAAAGTTATTGAAATAACTTTGTTCATTCTGTAGATGGCGCGAAAAAAGTACCGTAACCAGACTAGTTCTAATTTCTGAAATGCACTAGATCTGCATTTTAGATGCAAATATCTGCCAATCAAACAAATTTTAAAGTCTTTGCCCAGAAATTTGCTTAATTTGTAAATATTTTTGCATTTAAAATGCAGGTTTAGTGCATTTCAGAAATTAGGACTAGTCTGGTTACGGTACTTTTTTCGCGCCATCTACGGAATGAAATAACTTTGTTCAAATTGGTCCGATTTTTGTTTTTTTTTCATTTCAAAATGACCAGAACCTGGACCTTCATAAAAGTGATATGAATGTGAAGCGTGGTTTTCGTTAATTTGAGTTTCGCCAAGTTTTTTCTCGAATTCATTTTTTTCGGTCTGTCCTCAAGTTATTGTTTTGCGGTACTTTATATACTCTTTATGAGTTTCCTTGTGTAGTTTAGTTGTGTAGAAAAGTTTTTTTTTCTAAGCGCTGCTTAAAGCTAAAAAGATGTTTTCTATCTCAAAAAATGACCCATTTTCTTATGCATTAATTTTATATCTAAGCGCGCAAAAACAAACGTACTGGTGTCGAGATATGAGCTATTCTTCGAGTGCGACGCTCCTATAGAGACTATGCGACGCTCCTATAGAGAGCTCGTCTATTAGTTTTCACGGTGTTCGAAAATACCAAATTGTCGAAATTAACGCTTGACATTTTTCGAAATTTTAATTTTAACTAATTAAGTTCTGTCAAATTTTTTTTGTCAGATGCATCACCTCGGCAAAAAGCCGGAGGGAATCCGCAAGATGTCCAAGAGGAAGAAGTGTCAAAGAAGCGCAAATTGCAATCAGGATCTTCGCAATCACCGGTACCTTTTTATTTAATAGCTAAAATATAGTAGAATTTTTTACCAAGCAAAACCAATAAAATGTAATATATGGATTTTAAGCACTGAACGGTTTATTTAATTGCTCTATTAATTGGCGACTTTATTATTTTTTAGGCGTCGAAGCATTTACGAATTACGGGTCCTTCCTCTCCGTCCACTTCACAATCATCGGTACTTTTTATTTAATAGATAAAATATAGTATTCTATAATTGCACTGAATTATCTTAGACAAAAGTTTGTGATACTCAGAGAAAGGGTTTTGAATTAGGTGCTTTTTGAGTTTTGTCTAGAGTTTTTTAAACATAGACAGCTTGGAATCCAAGCAAAAGCAATAAAATGTAATATATGGATTTTAAGCACTGAACGGTTTATTTAATTGCTCTATTAATTGTCGACTTTATTATTTTTTAGGCGTCGAAGCGTTTACGAATTACGGGTCCTTCCTCTCCGTCCACTTCACAATCATCGGTACTTTTTATTTAATAGATAAAATATAGTATTCTATAATTGCACTGAATTATCTTAGACAAAAGTTTGTGATACTCAGAGAAAGGGTTTTGAATTAGGTGCTTTTTGAGTTTTGTCTAGAGTTTTTTAAACATAGACAGCTTGGAATCCAAGCAAAAGCAATAAAATGTAATATATGGATTTTAAGCACTGAACGGTTTATTTAATTGCTCTATTAATTGTCGACTTTATTATTTTTTAGGCGTCGAAGCGTTTACGAATTGAGCCTCCAGGAGAGAGTCCCCCCACAGAGGCCCCCAAAGGCTACTCTCCGAAATACGATGCTGGACAATATGGTAGGTTTATTTGTTTTGTAATTTAAGGTAATTTTAAATTCATGGAATGCTAGATGATTATCTATTATAAGGTTTGATTTGCTGAATAGTTGCTGAAATGCTTTGCTATAGTAATGATTTATTTTGTTATTTTACAGGCTATTCAACCATCGTCAAAGATTATGGAGGAAATCCTCCGACCAATAAGCGGTTTGAAGACGGAACGATATACCTGTACACGGATGGCAGTCATGTTGATGCTGTTGCTAGCCCAAATGGTGGAAGTGCGGGAGTCGGTCTCTTTTACGGGAACGGTCATATACTGAATAAGTAAGTATTTTTATTCAATAACTATAGTATCGAAAGTGGAGTTTAAAGATTGGTCCCCATTTAGGTCCATTGAACTTCCATCAATTCTTGAATGTAATGCAAGTGATGCTGAAATCCTGGGGGTTTTACTCGGACTGCACCGTTTAATTCTCTGGAAACTTTATGGGTAAGCAGGATTCATTCCTATAATAATAGGGCTCCTTTAGTTTTATGCTTAAAAAATCTTTTTGATCATTCAGGAATCGGAAAGTTGTGGTAAGAGTCGACCGTGAAGAGGTGATACAGAAATTGAGCCGCGAGAGTTCAGGAGGATTGGGCGACTACGCTGGAAAATCACAGTTTGTTTTTTGCATTAATATTTCTTTACATTTTATGTTTAGTTACCGAAACGTGCTTGCGCTAATGCAGCATTTTCCCAAGACTGTACGAATAGAATGGGTGAAAGGCCATGCAGAAGATGAGCCCGGCAACGCGGAAGTAAGGTTTTAGGAAATGTTATTTAACAAGAGTCTTATATCTTAATTCCTATTAATTTTTGATAGATTTTGTTAATTTCAGGCAGATAAGCTTGCAAGGGCGGCGTCCGGTGCGTCGGGTAAACCTAATACCGTTCCGAAGGTGCCATGGAAGCCAGAGGATGATATTGACGAGAAGCGGGTCTATGAGTCTAGAGGTATATTTTCGATTTATTTTGAAGAAAGTATTTCTGGTTCTATATAAAATCATTTCTTTTTTAGTGACTTCAGAATCAGAATCTGTCGAGGAAAAACTATACATCAAGCTCAACGATAAACGTCGTGCCTTCTACGCGTCGTACGAACAGAATTACAAAAATGATCAGCTCTACGAACAGGACCACGTGACCGCGCTCATTCAACTTCTAAAAGACCAAGCACCAAGGAATTATTAAAGATTTTTTGTATTTTACTCGTTTTTTTTCTACTCGTTTTTTTTACTCGTTTTTTTTACTCGTTTTTTCACTCGTTTTTTCGTCCGGAGACCAATAAAATTTTTGATGTCGAGCCAAAAAGCAAAACTTTCACCCAAGTCCTGGGTCAACCTAGGCCAAGCAGTTGAGGGCACAGCGCACTAACTACTAAAAACTGCTTTGCTTTTACACACAAACTTCAAGTGGAATTAAATCCAAAAATTTAAATCAATGACCTAGATATTCGGAATCACCGAAAAATCTGCTACAAAATAGGCTAGGTCTCACTTCGAAACTCGGTGGTAAATGAACCAACGACCTCTAGTTAGGGTACGGTAAAATGAAACTCGGATTCTGTAATGTAGTGGATTTTGAATCTCGATTATTGTCGATATTTTAATTAACTGGAAGTACACAAGCCCAGAGTGACATTGTAGTCCAATCGCAATCGGCAAAATGACCTAAAATAGTCCAAAAGCGTGCCACATTTTAAGGAAATCAAAAGAAAATTGTGCATTGTTTCCAGAATGACTAGGCATGACTGTTTGATTCTTGACGTTTTTCAATTAACCGCTCATAAAATGAGCGGAGAACACAAGTTTTGGTAATTTTTGGTAACAAACCTCACCACTTAGCAACGTCAACGTCCAGCCATCGTCAATCGACGCCTCTTTATCGGCCAATTCGTCGTACAATGGGCTAAAAGACAAAGCTGGATCATTTTAAAAGGCTAAAGGGTTACCTATAATCGTACCAATCCGTAAAGTCGAGCATCGACTTGGGCTCACGGGAGATCTTGCAATGTTCCTAAAACAAATATAGGTAAAATAGAGCAACATTACTCCCTTACCTCTCTTCGTGTGCTGTTAAACCGCTTGAATACTCGCATAAGGTCCTTTCAACTCCGGGCAATAAAAGCACACTCTACCGGCACCAACTTTTAGTCCTAAAAAGAATCATTTTTTCGTGAAAAAAGGTAAAACCAACCGAAACACTGAATCGATCCCTCCAAATCAGCACAATATTGCTTCACGGGCACCCTGATATGGTGTCGGGTCTAAAAGGTTCACATAAATATTCCTGAAGTTGTTCGAACCTTCTTGTGCTCGAGATTCTTGTCAAAGATTCCAGCGTTTGTGGGTAGAAGAGGCACGAAGTGACCGGAAGAGCCTGAAAAAAAATGGACGCTTTCTAAAATCGTGGTCTAGTTACGTTGTTCTCGTCATAATCCCAATTATCGATCGTTTCCTCCTCTTCATCACTTCCATTGTCGGTGTGCCAACCGGAAGAATCACTTTCCTCCCCTACTGATTCCATTTTCTCGTCTTCTGGCTGAATTTAAGAAGTTCAAAAGATAAAAGAGATAACTCTTACCGCTTTCTTCTCAATCTTCCCAGCGGCCGTTGTCGTCGTTGAGGTGGTTGCAGTCTTCTAAAAGTTTTAAAAGTAAATTCACGAGAAAAACTCTAGCCTTTCTTGGCTGCTTCGGCCCACGACGTCCTTTCTTGAGAATTTCCAGGTGCTTTTTCGATCTCAAATGATCAGAATATCTAAAAATTGCTATTTAAAAGTTTAATTCCTAAAAACTTACGCATTTTGCGAGTTGAAACGTTTATTACACACGTCGCAAAGGAGCGACGTCTCCTCCTCAGCAGTTCGCAAAGCTTGCTAGAAAAAACTGTTGAAGCTGTTAAAATTTGCAACTTTAACCTCTTTCTCCTCACGAAACATCAAGACTTTCGATCGAAATTGTTCATCGGTGATTGGCGGCAATTCAGCAACCTAAGGAATGTTGCTGAGCTCAAAATTTTGAGTAATAACGCCACCTGACGTTTCAGATTGTATCGGTGCCAATCGGTTCGATAGTGTTCACGCTAAAACAAACCAATACAGTTGTTAAGTTAATCAATAGATGCTTTGAGTTAAATTACACGTTCGATAGATAATTAACGCGATGGATAATTTAAACCGCAAAGTAAGTTAAACTTGTGAGATGTTACAAGTAAATTATAATCTACCTGGACTTCAGCATTCCTAAAAACGAGTTAGCAAGTGACGCAGGTAAATCTCGTCGATGAGTCCAACGTCGGTTGCTCAATCGGATCCATTCTGCCGATAAAAGGTATAACGATTGAGAAAAGATCGAGAATTGAACTCGAGAACGGACTTTCCACAAGAAAATCCTAACTCGAGCGCAACAAATTGAGGAAGTACTCACTCAAAACTTGAACAATAACTTTTCTTCAATAAGACCTTGGTCAGTACCATCAATCTTCAACTTTTCCCGAAAAACAATTTATCAAAGACACAAAAATCCCCTCAACAAGAACAACAACGAGAGCAATCTTCAATATGCAACAATAACAACAAAAATCAATAAAAATGATAGAAATTCTCCTAGAAAGCATGATGTCGAACCTTTTGCTTCTGCACCGTCGGCTCTTCTTCGTACTCGATTTCAATCTAAACTTTCTAATGGATTTAAAGATAAACTTAAAATTAACCCTAGATCGTTGCGCCTTCTTGGCTGGCTTCTTCTTCGCTGGGAGATCGAAAGAAATCTAGAAGTGGAAAAATTAATGGTACCACAACTTTTTAACACACCCTTTTCTTTTTCAGCCTGAAATAGATAATCTATTACTTATTTATATACCATTCATGTTTCATCTTTGAAATCAACAAACCTGATCCATTTCTTCCTCTTCTTCTCCTATATCCATTTCCTCGTCATTGTCGTCATCACTATCTTCTACTGGTCCTTCCCATTCCCCTTTTTCCGAATCCGTGTCTGGCGGAGTCCAATGTCCTAAAATAAATTGAACTGTTTTATCGCTTAAAAAGTTAGCCCATGTCAGCTCCTTTTTAAAGATCAAATCAATGCAACTGATTGATGCTCCGGTAGAGGCCGCATATAATCTAGCACCGTTTAAATTTCATTTACCCGATATCTACAAACAGATATCGCGTAAAGTTGTAGTATCTTTAGTGCAGGTTGATACCAAATAAAAGAAACTCGAGTACCTTCAGCATTCTCGATGTCCCCTCCTTCATCCGAGCTCCGAGCTCTCGAAATCGGCAACGAATTGCGTTCGACCAGTTTGCTAAATATTAAATCTTTTAATAATTCCCGGCGAAATATACCTACCTCATCATCTTCTTCCAATTCGTATCGCGCTTCCAGTGAGCATTCTTTTATCTGAAAATGAGCAGAATTAGAACCTTTATTAATATAAAAACAATCTCTAAACACTTCGGCTTTTTCATCGTCATGCATAATTCCGTATACAGAAAGCAGCCATTTACCAAATTTAATATTTTAGATATTTCTCGCCAATAATCAGGGCTCGGTCAAAAAAAATCTCCAGACGAAATTTGAAACTCTTTATTCACCCTCATCCGAATACCGAACATATTTAAATGGTCAAAGAAAAAGAAAGACAACAAAACATTTAAAACGTACGATACATTGCAAAATAACTTGTCAACGCGGAGAAGGAAAAATAATTAAAGGTCAAAATAACTCAGGGAAAATGTGATCAACAAATACGGCAGCCAAATAAAAGCAAACGTTTTCTTTTAGTCCACTTCTGCTCTGGTTGCACTGAGGATATCGAAAATAGATGAATTGGATGGAAAATAGTGTTAACCCTCAAAACTCCATTATTTCCAAATGTGGTTGAACGTAGCAGGCAAAAAATTCTGTGATATACATTATGCCATTAATGCGCGGTAAAAGCATGTATACACAATCCCTTCTAGCGTCAATGTTTCGACGAAAAAATACACTGTCGGTTAATTGAGGCGCGTGTGGTCGCTTAGTCTTTTTTAAGATTTCGGTCGTTATTTTGCTCACTTCTTGCAGTTTTTCTCCGTCTAATCGCTTCATTCCAGGGAATTGCGAAAGAAGATCAATGATCCGGTCATTTCCATCCGGAGAACAAAAACCGGGCCCATAAAAAGCTGCCCTCAAATTCTTGCCTGGGATCTGTTGTTGAACGATTAATTGCACAATCTCCTCAAAGTCGGATTTCCCAAACGGCCATATACTCGATACTCGTTTGATCGATAAACTGGCAAAAATATCTCTGTAGAAGTGAAAATCAGCGGCGGAATCACACTCAACACGGACCTCCTCGCAGTCATTCAGCTGACTTACCATGAAATTCTTAAAAAGCTCATTTAACACTTGATTTTCTTTCAACAAAGACACGTTCACGCAAATGTCCACCTTATCTCCAATCATCGAGCGGAAATTCTCAAGGAATCCCAGTAACTCATCGTTATTTTTTTTTTCCACCCCGAGATGCAAACTTCTCACAGAGTTCAATAGACTCAGAATCTTCGCGTGTTTGTCGGTGAATTGTCCCTTGTGCCAGTCTCGCCAGAATATCTTCAATGTGTCACATGAGCGGAATCGTTTAATCAATGGGACGGGGGAAACGGCCTCCAACGAAAGTTTAAGGAAGGATGAGCCTGGGAATTTCTTGACCAATATCCGGTCGCAACAAAAACAGATCTCGTGCACGTGAGGCCCAAAAATTATCCAGGGTTTGCGCAGCAGGATTGATCGAAAACCCGCATTCACCTTGACGAATTTAATCGCATCATTCGGCTCCATTGCCTCCAAAACCTCAAGCTTTAGGAGGTAGTATAGCTTCTCGATTGGGAATGAGGTGAGCTGTCGAATTTCAAATGACATTTTGCGTTGCGTCCTTTTACCTGTAAATAAAAAACAGTTAGATTTCGCGAAAACAAGTAGACACTCAGAAATGAAAACGCTTACAAGATGCCTAATAATTACTCATAATCACTAGGAAGGGTGAGGCTAATTCGAAATCTAACCGAGCACGAAGTTTTTTGAATTTTTAGAAATTTTGAGTTGCTCTACTGTAACGGTGCCCATTATCTAGCCACTAGGAACGTACAAATGTTTCAAATCAGGCGCGGTTTCAAAAAAATTGAGAAGGAGAAGCGAATTGACTCATCTTCTGGTATCTTCTCTGGATAACTCCGCTTAGCAACCATAATAAGAGTGAGTTTCGAGGGAACAACACAAAAAATGTGAAAGACTGAAAATAAATTTGCGCGACGCGGTTAGATGTGATGTCATTAGTATCGTCGCGTTAGACACGCGGCCTTGAACTCGATCATCTTACTAGTTAAAAGTCGCATTAATGGTTTTCCATAATGGAACTGCGGTACTATGGGAGTGTTATTTATGAATCTCGAAAATTGTCTGATTTCAAAGGGCGATGTTTTGATTTTCAATTGTTCCTTTTTTCATGTGCAACTTGTTGTTCGGATTTCCAACGTCAATGTTCTTCAAGACCTCAGAGAACAAATTCCACGTCAATTTCAAACACTCAACTTGGAAACTCTTTGTTCTTGAGCGCAGCCCAGGGATCTAATTCATTTCCAGAGCACGATGATTACGAATTCTGGTGACTGTTGGTGAGCGTCGTGGTTTCAAGCGGAACTCCAGCCAATGTTCCCCAACTTTTGGCTACCGCTGGCACTTCAATCGACCTGTTGGGCATGAACAAAAAGGTGGGATAATAGAAATCCTGAATCGAAATCTGTTTGGGGAGGCTTTGATAACAACAGCTTTCACGTGGGCTCACATCAACCTCCATCCACAGCGTAAATCAGTCGACATCCACAGAGTTGGGCGTGCGAAGTCTCCCTTGAACGAAAATGTCTGTTTGTCCACAAAATTGTTGTCTAATGCTGTAAAATCTTCAGGGAATCAAATTGGATTGGCTCTCTATTTTCTTTTTTAGATAAATGTCGAAAGAAACAGCTCTGTCAAAAGTGCTTTTCTCTAAAAGACGGAACTCTTGTTACCAAACAAATATTGGAACATATTTTGCAGGAATTGAATCAAGTGCATAATTTATTTCATAACGAAACGATCGCTAGATTCATCCGTTCGATGAGACATGATGTGCTTACAAGCAAACGCACCTTCTCCTTCAAATCAAAGAAAAGATAGTGATCGAAAGTTGTGCAAAAATTCTTTCTTCGTTGGAAACATTCACTCGACTGGTAGTCAAATCAAAGCGTAAATGGATCCTTTTCAAAGAGGCAAGCTGTGGTGATAAAACTATAGTCGAAAGAAACAGCTCTGTCAAAAGTGCTTTCTTCTAAAAGATGGAACTCTTGTTACCAAACAAATATTGGAACAATTTTTGCAACAATTGAATTAAATGCATAATTTATCTCATAATTAACTAGTCAAAACAAAGCGTAAATGGATCCCTTTCAAACAGGCAAGCTGTGATGATGCAACTCTTACAGCATACCTACACTCAGGACCCTCCACAAACACGTGTACAGTTATTAGACATTAAGCATTAAGCTCTTGGGCGATTTCGTGACGACTCTCAAATCTGAGTTACAAGAGCGATTTCTGGTGAATGATTATTCGGAAGGCTCAGTAGCCTCTTCTATTCTAGAAAAGATTTTAATAAGAACTTTAACTTTAAAACATTAAAGTGCTCAAGGTCGATGATCTTGAGTCTACGGCTTTAGAGCGCAGTACGGTACTGTACTGCACTCTGCCTTAGCGTGGCCCCGATGCGAGGAGGGCTAGCGGTGAACCCGTCCGATCTGCCAAGTTGTGCAACGTCGGGCTCGGCTAGTCGCTGGTTCGAATCCCGAGTGCTGTAGGATCTTGCAGTAGGACGGGATCCCCCGAGTGTTCTCCCGACTCTTCTGACTCCTGGCAGGAGAACACTCGGGGGATCCCGTCCCACAGCAACGTCCTACAGCACTCTCCGGCTACAGCACCCCGGTTGTATCTCTCCGGCATCAACTTGCCACCAAGTGGAATGAGTGGTACAAGTTGCCCCGATGCGAGGAAGGCTAGCGGTGAACCCGTCCGATCTGTCAAGTTGTGCAACGTCGGGCTCGGCTGGTCGCTGGTTCGAACCCTCCGGGGGTCCCTCTGAACGCCCCGGTCCGGCTATCGGTTGTACGCTTCGGCTACAACAACCGCCATCAGCTTGATGATGTGTTGTGATCTTTTGAGTCTCTAGGATCATCTTTTGCGCTTCTTGAGGCACTAGAACCATCTCTAGTACTCTTCAGCTACAACAACCGCCATCTACTTGGCATCAAGCTTGATGTGTTGTGTTGTGATCTGCGCGGGGAATAAACGCGAAAACATGTCGAACAAAAAAACTGTCTTAGCACCGGGTGGTACGGTATCGATTCGGCTTACCGATTGCCCGGCATGGATCATGTGATCGCAAGAACTCCTCCAGGGTCACCCATCCACCGCCAACTCTGACCATAACCGTCGATCGGAGAATTCGCACCATTCGTCGGATTTGCGTGTCACCGAACTAAAATTCTTTTATTGCATACCGGAAAGCACAAAGTCCATCAGTTTCTGTAGATGTCCGGCTGTTAAACGACATCTACGCTAAGCTACAGTACACCGATACGCTACGCTAAGCTACAGCTACGAAATACGCCAAAAAACGTCACGTTTTCTAGATAGCTTTACAGAAAATCTACCCGAAATCTCACAAAAAAACGAACGAAAAAAACACAACGAAAAGTGTGAAAAATTTGGAAATTTTCCGGTGAAAACCTGTGTGAAACAGCTTCTAAAACGCGATGGACGATGCAGGAACTGGAGTGCGATAAAAAGTTACGAAATTGTTAGTAAAACTTAAAAAAAGGATTCGATTAGTAAACGATAATATAATATATTGACGACGGGTCGGGACACCGATGTCCTGAGAGGAGAGTCTGGGACGACTCTAGGACGACTCAGGGCACCGGTGTCCCTAGAGGTGGCTATTATCTGAGGCACCGGTGTCCGGAGAGGTGACTACCATCTGGGACGAGCCGAGGCACCGGTGCCCCTAGAGGTGACTACCATCTAGGACGAGCCGGGACACCGATGTCCCGAGAGGAGAGTCTGGGACGAGCCGGGACACCGTTGTCCCGAGAGGTGACTCTGGTACGACTCTAGGACGACTCAGGGCACCGGTGTCCCTAGAGGTGGCTATTATCTGAGGCACCGGTGTCCGGAGAGGTGACTACCATCTGGGACGAGCCGGGACACCGATGTCCTGAGAGGTGACGACTATCTGGGACACCGTGTCCCGAGTTGTGACTACCATCTGGGACGAGCCGAGGCACCGGTGCCCCTAGAGGTGACTACCATCTAGGACGAGCCGGAACACCGATGTCCCGAGAGGAGAGTCTGGGACGAGCCGAATAGACGAAACCCATAAACAGAAGTGTAGAACTTTAGAATCATTGGCAAGAACCAGCCGCAGTGATGCCAAATTTCTCACAAACACCTACCCGTTACCCTACTTTCGTAAAACTTAAATAGCTAAACTAGAATTAAATCAACTAAGACAACTTTTTGAATGATACACTTGCAAGCAGTCATTGATCTATCCATAAAATTCATTCACCAAAAAGTCGTCTTTATTAGTGGACGAAGAATCTCATCGTATCTCAAAGATGTCCTCGACTTCAGGAAGACCATTTGTGCCGTCATTGGGGTTTGTTTAGAGAGGAAAATGGTTCTGATAGATGAATTTTAAAGTCCTAAAGGGCAAATGAACTGTTTATTAGTACTAGTACTTGTACTATTACCAGTACTATTAGGTTGATGCAAAAGTCTTTTTCATTTTTCATTTCATCTTGTACTAGTCCAAAATCGCCAATGAAACTAGTAAACAATCCATGTCTTCAAGCCGAGAAAATTCATGCTGATGTGCATGCTTTATGCCGTTTTTATTCCAAAAATTCATGCTCAGTTACCTTTCACTTTTTCTAAAAGTTCTCTATCGGTCGTACAGCATCTGGCGGGCATCTGGGAAACCGTTGCTCTGGATAAAGCCACTGTTGACCATCCAACATCGCTAAACACTCAAACCATTCAAAGCAAATGAAGCAAAGACAAAAGCCAAATGCTGGACTCGATTTGAGTGTTTGGCGATGTTGGACTCGATTCCCAGGGTGCCTGCTCAAACCCACTGCCACTCGGTCACCACGACATCTTTTCCTACTGCTCTGATAAGTCTTTTCCTGCTGGTCTTCTAAGCTTCAAAGCTTATAGCTCAAAGTCTGTTTTCTGCGATTCCATACAAAACTTTGAGCGCTTATAACTTTTGACAAAGTGCTGCTTTACAAAAACGGAAAGCAGATTCGGAATCAGTGCAAAATTCTACGTCGTTTAGCTTGGTCACCACACCTTGTTGACATTTCCTTGTATAGTAATACGTGTAATTTTTTCTAGAAGTTTTTAGGCCTTACACTTTAAGTCAGTTCTTAAAGTCTAAAGCTCTAATGCAAGATCGTAGCTTTTGTACCCAACACTTGCAATTAGAACTTTTCATTCATAGCTCCACTTTTTTGGTTTACTTGCTGATTGCTGATAGATTTAAGCGTTAGATAGATTTACGCGATTATAGAATAGCTTTTAACAACTTGTGGAAGGTTTTTAACCTTTTTTTTGTTTATTTTTATAAACTATCTAACGCTTAAACATAGCACACACACAAATCAGCAAGTAAACTAAAAAATAGAGCGCAACTTCTTCAAAAAAATTGCACGCATCTCTACATCGTACATCTTTGCAATTGTTTAGAAAAATTGAAAGGTAACTGAGCATGAATTTTCTCGGCATTAAGCATAAGTTTTACTAGTTGTTGTTCTAAAGTTTTTGCTAGCTACAATATAAGATCAAGCTCTATCAAGCATTTCTTAAAGTCTAAAGCTTTAATGCAAGATCGTAGTTTTTGGACCCAACACTTGTAATTAGAACTTTTCAATCCATAAACAAAAACAACCCATAAACGAAATATCAAACATCTCTTATTATCATTTTTAGAAGCGTTTCTGAGGTTGACGGCACTGATGGAGAAGATGAGTTCGAGAAAGAAGAGCAACGCGAGGAAATGGCCGCCCAACACCCAGTGAAGCCCACTTGGAAACAGACATTCCTCGTCTGTATTGGATTGGCCGATCGGAGAGAGTACGCCCGGAAGCCCATCTTGTAACCATCTTTTTGTTTTTCTTATTTTCATTCACACAAACTTTGAGTTTTTTTGTCTCAGAATTCTCAGTGGCAGGCAAAGTTGTCCAATTGATAAAAACAGTTTTTTTTAAAGTCAAATACCAACAGCATTTTCCCAAACACTGAGACAAAAGAACAAAGAGATCAATAACTTTTTACTAAACAAGATTTTAAACTCAAATATTAAAAGAGTACAGTTACAGTTATGGTCCGAAAGAAGATGAAGAACACGATGAAGATGTGGAGAAGAGAAACTCGGAAAATTCTTTCTTCACAACCCATGAAGAAGAAGAGGAACAAGAGATTGAAACGTAAAAATTTCAATTTCAATTTCAATTTCAATGAAAATCCGTAAGGCTAAAAGTTTTGTTTAGTGATGGTGAGCTAAGAAACCTTTTACATCCGGAAAGATACGCGAATAATGGAAGAGTTCGCTCCGGTGGCACGCAGACGCACTCAGCTTCGAGGTGGGCAGGCATTGAGTTGAATTGCTTGTCCTATAACTGTAAATATATGCTGAAATATCTACCGAACTGAAGTATGAATAACTGAAATGAAATATATCTATAAATACTGTCAATTGAAGCCCCCTTTACCCCTCTAATAGAAGTCTCGAGGCTTCTATTACAGTATTTACGGTAATTGCTATTTTTCAGGTCTCCCAAACCGTCTCGATCACCGAGATCTTCGAGATCGCCAGGACTGCTTGTGACACAAAGAGATGACGATGATGATGTCAGGTAGTACAGTTGAACAAGTGAATTGCTATGATATTAGAGATTTTATAAGCCTTGAATAGTACCTAGAGTCTGTAAGCCAGGCTAGGCTAGGTAAGGCCAAGGTCAAGGCCAAGGTTAAGGTCAAGGCCAAGGTCAAGGTCAAGGCCAAGGGGAAGACCAAGGCCAAGGTCAAGGCTGAGGCCAAGGTCAAGGTCAAGGTTAAGGCCAAGGGGAAGGCCAAGGTCAAGGTCATGGCCATAGCCAAAAGCCAGGACAGAAGCCAGGCCCAAACTTGGCTTCTGTACAGCTAGACCAGGTTATGCAAAAGTCAAAAACCTGACCTTACTTGCATTGTCTGGCTTACTGTTGTTATTGTTAGTTCAGGCCATTGTTAGTGTTAGTTACTTCTACAATTTAGTGCTCGAGACGAGTCTTTCCAAACAGCTTCCAGAGGCTCCTCTAATCGCTTGCATCCAAATGATGGATCTGATACGTAAGTGTTCAATTTCTAGAACAGTTACAAGTGTAAAAAACACTGTAAAATACACTAAACACTACAAAATTAGCGAAAAAAAATGAATAAAAACTGCTTAGCTTTAGAAGCTCGACCCCTCGTTCTGGCTCAAATCGGGATATCATGACGTGAGTTGAAATGTTGATCAATCAACAAATACTCTTTTTAGGCCGATTGCCGAGATCTCCGACTCTTATAAAGGATCACCAAAAGTGTAAGCAAGAGATTAAACTTTGGAATTTAAACTTTAAAGCTCCTAAGCTATAGATCTCCTCATCCAAGGGTCACAGACAACCCAGCCTACGACTACAATCGGTCATCACGAGAAGAATTTCCGAGAGATGATGCTGAGTCGAGAAGGTGAGTAAGGATCGTTTTGAAAATGATCAATCGTTTCCGTTTTCAGCTCCGGTAGCTCATCAGTCTCCCAATCGCACTCACTGCCACCAGGTGTTGAGATTAGAGAAGGAATGCTTGCTGGTCCGTCCTCTAGAACATCGTCTCGATCCGATACCAGCTATCAAAAAGCGGCTCATTCGTTGCTAGAGCCAGTACTAGCAAATGCTAGAAAAAGGTACAGGAATTGGAATAATGAATTGAAATAATGAATTGAAAATTGTATTCTAGTAGACATAGTTTTTGGAAAGGATCGGATAAAATACGAATTTCGGATCTGATTCGATCTGATCCGATCCGGTGGACTACTGTTCCGGAGCTGATCTGACTAAAACCTGATCCGAAACCATGTCTATATCCTAGTCAGTTAAAGAACCAGCTTGTCAAACATTTAGCTAATCCAATAAACTTAAGTTTAACACATGACTTTCTTGCCACGTCTCTCCCTGGCTTGAGTCTGGCTGCTGCATTTGTGCAATGAAGACATGTGCCACTGGTTATTTGACGCAGAATTTCACGGTGACTTCGAATCTGCTTTTCGTTTCTGCTATGGAGCACTCTGTCAAAAGTTATAAGCGCGCCAAGTTTTGTATGGGATGGAATCGGAAACTGAAAGCAGCTTTGGAATCGGCGTTGAATTCTGCGTCGAATAACCCGTGGCATATGTCATTTTGGTCACCCCATCCAGTTGACATTCCCTTGTAAGTTGAGCTTTGAGATCTAGACCATTCTTGTTCGATTTTTATGGGCTTTCCGAATCTTTTTTCAAAGAGACGAACTGTAACTGTTCTGCCCAGAGAATCACGAACCAGAGATTCTCTGGTTCGAGTCCGCCATTGCCACCACACCAGTTGACATTCCCCTTGTTGGTGTCTTTGTTTGTTTCCTTACAAACCAAGAAAAGTGACAAACTTTTCTATTTGAGAAGTGACGAGGAGTACCCGCCTCGTCAACCCGACTTCTACAGTTTCGACGAACCGTCACCGTCTCGAGAACGAATGCAAACACCATTGGCTCAATTGTATGCAAATCCGCATAACAGGTTTTGAATTATTTCTTTTCCAAACACATTTCTTTAGCTACACATCGGCTATGATGAGTCCAATTATGGCTGATTACTCTTTACTTGGTGGAGTGACCACAGAAGATAGTGAATCGAATGATGAGCACACGCATTTACTCCCAATGACGTGGGTTGATCAAAAAGTGTTATATGATCTGACTTGAGAATTTGAAATCATGTAGAAAAGGAAATTTTAGAACAAGCAGTGGCAGCTCTGGAAAGAATCGAATGAAGACATCGACCTCGTCCGGCATGAGACCGCCAAGATTCCGTATCTCGACATCGCCTCTGAGAAAGCGCTTGGAAGAGGTAGTCTTTTGAAGTAAATTCTAGAAATATCTTCAAACGTTAATCAAAGCTTTAACTGGCAAACAAATCTTGGGTTGGTGAATTAAAAACTGCGGGACTTTGAACTAAAATTTGTTCAACATAACATAAATGCATAACGGAAATGGATTCCAAATAATTTCCATTATTATTGACGACTTCTGCCCATTTTACAGGCAATTCGCGGATTCCTCTTTCGTAGTAGGATTTTGGTTTGTGTGTGAGACAAGTGTGAGACTCAAAAATGGAGGACTGGAGATGTCAGCTGTCAGCCCAGTTTGAGCACTTTCTTCAAAAGAAACCCATTTTGGTGTCAATAGAAAAGTTGTAGAGAATCAAAAATTAGGCTTGTAGCCGAATTTCCAAAAAGATACACTTAGTAGTTTCGCTTAAAATGCAAGTTTTGTGAAAATTCGTAAATTTGGCATTTCTTGAAAACCAGTTTTTGAATCGTTCTGAAAATTTGGATAAAAACTTTATTTTTGATTCTCTACAACTTTTCCATTGGCACCAAAATGGGTTTCTTTTGAAGAAAGTGCTTAAACTGTCATATATGACAATAGCCGACGGTTTTCAATTCACCAACCCAATACATCCTACTTTCAATGGAAAATTTTTTCGGTATCAAAGATTTCCTAGAAAATAGTCTCCATAATTGTTGAACACTCGGTAGTTATCATAAAATTCCAGGATTCCGACAGCTCAGCGCGACGCTTCGAGATGCGAATAGACGAGGAGGGTGCAGGGAGAAAGCAGAGGCGATCCGGTGAAGAGAGACGAACATCGAGGGGACGAAGTACACAAGATCGATCACCGATGTCACCCGAAAGAAGTCCCGCCACGAGTGGTTCTCCAACAAAACGAAACGTCACTCATACGATTGTTTAAACGTTCAACGAATTCCTCTTAGTCGTTCAAATTTGCCTGTCGTCTTTCTTTTAGTGTTTTTGGATTGCTTGAATAAAATTTTGCAATAAAAAACAATGAATTTTGCTAGCTGACGTCATTCCGGAGATTCGAAGTTTGATCAAAGTCAAAATGAACAAATAAAATAGGTATTGTAGTCAAAGCGACTGAGGGACGGATTCGTTCTAGACCTTGACTGGAACCAGAGCCCTGATCTGGGTTTAGATGCAACTTTGGATCCGGATCAAGGTTCTAGAGACAGTCTAGAGAAGGTCTAGAGAAGAGATAGAGAAGGACTAGAGAAGGACTAGAGAAGGACTAGAGAAGGACTAGTGAAGGACTAGAGAAGGACTAGAGAGGGACTAGTGAAGGACTAGAGAAGATCTAGGGAAGGACTAGAGAAGGACAGGCCAAAAATGCTAAACGAACCAGCTCTAGATTGAATTTTAATCTTTTAGCAACTTCTCATTGTCAGTGTAAAAGATTTTCATCAAAAGACAACCTAAAAATAACAGGCAATAAAGTTCTTTGAAAGCAAAATCCTCCAAAGATTGTCTATTCGATCAGCACCAATTCCCTTTGTCTTTCAGCAAAGTTGAAGAATTTTGGGTACATTTACTATATTTATTCTAATAGAAAACCATGGTCCTCGATTTTTCAACAACCTCCCTGTAAGAAATATATTTATCCTTTGATCTTTATAGTTTCTTGTGTTTCTTGTCGGTGTGATTCAATGGTAGATGTCATTTTTGTGGTTTTCTAGATTTAAATTCTTATCTTAAACTGAAAATAGGTTTTAATTTGCACGCATTTTATCAATTTATCAAAGCTTTTCCTTATTATGGCAAACTTCGCTCAAACTGGAGCAACCTGGCACTATCACAATTACTTCAACACATGCGTATGAAAAAAGGGATGAATTGAAAAGGGAGCCCACAACTGACTCGAAAAAAAGCTTAAATAGTCGGTTTCTAAGTACACAAGCTACGGCAAACGGACAACTGAATATCGTCTAGTGGCTGATTACGGTAGTTTATCCATCAGCTTTGAATTTTAACTTGTGTATTGAATTTAGAGCAGTGGCAATTCGCCACAGAGCCCAAAAAGTAGTTAAGGGTCCTCCAAATAAATCAAAAGTTTAAAAATTGTTAAAAATGATTTTAAACGATAGCCTTTGGTCCTAGAAAAGCAAAAAAAAATAACATGATTAGCATAACATGATAGCAATCTAAACGACTAGTACCGACTATTTTGATACACAAAGTACACCTAGAAATGCAAGTACAGTCAGCCTTAGTGTTTCGAAAGAAGATCAGTGATCTATATCAGAGCTGAGACCGATTTAATCTTTCTAAAATTGTCTCCACAACAACGCAGAGTGACCAACATCAATTCCCTTTTTTCAGCGATTCGTTTCGAAAGTCGAGAAGACCGAGTACAAAAAATGTGCCCGCCCAGGTATTTTTTGCGATTTTTGCGATTTTTGCACGCAGAGTTTTGAAATTGTCTCTTTTTCATCGTTTTTTCGTGATTTTCCCTATTTTTCACAGCACTTATCACCTTGATTTCCGCTCTCAACTTTGAACTTTGAAAGAAAGGAAAAGAGCGAATGAAATATCAGAAAACGATCGAATTTTTCTATAAATAATCTATTCAAAATCTTCAAAATCTTCAAAATCTTCAAAATCAAGTAATTTTTTTCAATTTTTACTTTTCTTTATAAATTCCTAAAGCTTTTGCTGTCTTTTTTATCCAAAATTCCTGTTTTTAACGTTTTAAATACAAAACTTTAGTTGATTTTTGAGAAAATCGAAACTTTCTGTTTAGAATTTGGTTTAAATAAGTTTGAATAAGTTTTTCTAGCGTTTTTCTAGCGTTTTCCGATCTTTTTAACGTTTATTAAACGTTTTTAATACATAATTTTACTTGATTCAATGTAAATTCAATGTAAAAACATGCAAAATTTCCTTTCAGTTTAGTCGAAATTTCCCCAAATTTCACAAAAATGACCACCGTCAGCAAGAGCTACGAATCTCACGAGGATCCAGTGATCGACTATTGCACGAAAGTTCGTTTATTTCAGGGAAAACTGAAATCTAAAGATTGATTGGTCTAAAGATTGATTAATTCTAAGGATTGATTGATTCTAAGGAATGGATTGATTCTAAGGAATGGATTGATTCTAAAGATTGATTGATTCTAAAGATTGATTGGTCTAAAGGTTGATTGATTCTAAGGATTGATTGATTCTAAGGAATGGATTGATTCTAAAGATTGATTGATTCTAAAGATTGATTGGTTCTAAAGATTGATTGATTCTAAAGATTAATTACTTCTAAACGATTCTAAGCTTTCAGTTAACGATCAAAATGTCACCTCTTCAAGAGGAACTTCAAAAGGAAACCCTCGAAAAACACGAGAGAAGGGGAATGCTTGGAGGACCAGAGGTATTACATGAAATTAGCAATCTAAATATAATATTGCTTATCTTATTGAACCAGACTTTAAGTGACGGCTAAAATGGCTAATTTTTGGCTAAAATAAAGCAATTTAGATCTTTGTTATTGGTCAAAGCTTCCTCAATCTCATTCATGGGAAAAACGTGCTTGATATTGGTTTGTTTTAAAGCTAGAAATATAGTTTTAGAAGCTTGAAACGTTTCTCAGTAGTACTGTAAGAAATTTAGAGTTTAAAAAGCATTAGAATATTCTTAAATTGTGACTAAAACTGCTTTCAAAGATAGTCAATTGAAAGAAAAAAGGTGAATACTTTGACGCTTGATTGACTTTATTCTGGCATACTGTAGTAGAAAAATCTTGGGTCTTACGGTATCTTAAAACATCTTAAAATAACCTATTAAAGTTTTAAACCTTTAAACTTTAAAGAATTTTTAAAATTTCAAACGTTTTAGGTACCTTCACCGGAGCCTCAGCTCTAGCCTGGGCTCTTGCAATTCCTGAAGACGGAAAGGTTATTTAAACTATAGCTAAACTATAGCTAAAATTTCCATAATAATATAAATTTCAAATTTGATCAACTCTTTCCATAATATAAGATTACAAATTTGATCAACTCTAGGTTATTTCAATGGATGTCGATCATTCTGCGCTTGATCAATTATATAATAACTACAATAATATATAATTGTAGTTGGTACATAATTGTAGTTATTATATAATTGTAGTTATTACACAATTCTATTGATTACAAATTTGATTCAACTATTGATTCAACTCTAGGTTATTTCAATGGATGTCGATCATTCTGCGCTTGATCAAATCGGCCGATCAATCATCGAGAAATGCTCAAAAACTGCGCACAAAATCGACTTCAGATTGGGATCAGCTATTGAGACTTTGGGTAAATTTTGACTTTTGTCGATTTGTCGATGATTGATTTGAAATCAAAACCAATTTTAGACAAATTGATCGCTGAGGGAAAATCCGGGAAATTTGACTTGGCTTTCATCGATGCCGACAAGGTGAACTACACAAATTACTACGAGAAATCGATGGAATTGCTTCGATCGGGTGGAGTGATTCTTGTGGATAATGTGAGTTTAGACCCTAGCTTTTAGGAACTTCCAATTTGTTCCAACTGTGAAGAGCTTCAAATTTGTTCATTTTGTAATATTGAGTCAAATGAGTTCCAGGTTTCAATAGAGTTTAAGGGTAGAACATAATGACGAGGGCACTGTCTTGTTCTAAAGAGTGCCAGGAAAGCTACCGTACTTCCACTAAGATCCAGCCCATTCTCTAATAGATCTCGGAATCTGGGAGGTGGATTAGATGGTTATGTATTTGGTTAGAGGTAGACGTTGAGCAACGTGACCGAGGTACTTTCCCTATAACGGGGGAGAATTTTCCTTCTCTGCACCTTATTTAGACAGTAAATTTGTTTTTCTGTGTGTTCTCTGGTTTCTGGTCGCCACGTGCTTTCTAGTCGCCTTAAAAAAACACAGTGTGACGCAGGTCACTTCCCGGTCGCGCATCACAAGGCACGGGGGGAAAATCCCCCGTTATAGGGAAAGTACTTTCCATTTTTGTACTTTCCATTTCCATGTACACTCAACAAGCGAATTTACTCCTAGATTCGACATTTTGCAAGATTGGTTTCCAAAATTCTTCCATTTCAGGCTCTTTGGGATGGTGCTGTAGTGAAAACTGAAAAGGATGAGGCAACCAAAGCCATCGATGAGTGCAATCGACGCATTTTTGCGGATGAGAGGTAGATTTTGTAAAAAAATAACCAAATAGAAGGATAACATACTTTTTAAGCTAAATACCTATCAATCTATCAACCATTTCCTTTCCAGATCCAACTCATTTCTCATCAACGTCGGTGATGGACTTCATGTGGCTTTCAAAAAATAAAGTTTAGATCTTGGTACTTTTGCACTTTCTAATTGTTTGCTTGTTATTTTTAAAGAGTTATATTGAACTGAATAAATATATTTCAGTTTTTTAAAGTTTCTGTACGACTTCTGCGTTATACAAAAGTCAAAATGGTGTAGAACTAGGCTGGGCATGACCAAACAAGCATGGCCAAACAGGTATGACCAAACAAATCCTGTTGTTGTCAAGAGTCCTGTTTTTACTAAAACTTGATTTTAAAATGAAGAAAGCTATGCAACTAAATTTTTTTAAATAAAAACCTTGGAATCCTGTCGGCGATCGCATTTTCGCGCGGATGTGTGATGGGAATGAAATCAGCGCTCACATATCTTTCGAAAAATAAAAAGATTGCAAGTCTCAACCAATAATTGTTGTATACTGTTCGAAAGCCCTGAATCTCCTCTACAAAATAGTGCAAAAAGATTTTGAATTGGATTGATTATTGGGGACTTGGGTGACTTTTAAGTTGAAAGATCAAAAATGATCATTTTCTGAAAAATGTGTTTCTGGTAATAGCCATGCCCCGGTTTTTCCTTTAGAAAATACCGCCAATTAAAGTTATATGAAAATAACATAAAAGAACTCTTTTTGTTTGTTCGTCTTCTAGAGCTTCTGTTTTTCGGAAAAGTTTTATTTTAGGCCATTACAGGCCACAAACGGCTATTTTAGGCCTACGATTCTAGGCCAACATCATCTCTGGTATTTTGCAATGCTTGAGCCCATTTACTCGTTTCGTTTCAGAAGTCTTTGTTGCCCCTACGGACCGAAGTCCTTGGGATGAATCCAAAAATTCACAGCGGCTCCCTTCAGCACCCTTTTACAGGCACTTGGGATCCCATTCCGACCGACAGAGAACCCGCCATAATGGTCAAAATGAGCCGGAACTGGGTTGACCAGTTCTACAGCCAAGGTTAGTTTTGGGAAGCGGTGACCATATGGGGCAGACAACGGATTGGTTACCGGATGACCCAAAATGGACGCTTCCGATTTGAGACATAAAAAGGGAACTATATGAGGAAACATAGGATGCCAGAAGGAGCGCGATTGTGCTCGCGCACAGAGCACAACCTGGCGCTCTTCGTTTTTGCATTTTAAAGTTCAAAACTTCAAATTTTTGAACAGAAAAATTGTATCGGGGGTTTTCGGGGTTGGGGAATTGACTGACAGTGTTAGTTCTAATGTTTTTCTTGATCCAAATCAATGATTTCACTACATTTCCCATTGAAAGATGGTTCTAATTTCTAAAGCAATATCTTATCTCTTCTTTTCCAGCTTAAGTTTTCCAATTTAAACTTTTTCAAACACCTCTCGAAAAGCTTTTCAGCAAAAAAGCTTTAAAGCCCAAATGATCACAGCCCAAAAGGCCTGCTCCCAGACTGATTTACAATCTGTATAGTGTTTTTAATCGTAATGTGAGTCCAGATAGAAGATAGAATGGCACTAAAACTTTGCTCTTTATAAAGCAAAAAGCTTGTCAAGCAAAGGAACTCCTTGAAAACAGTCAAACAAAAGAAATCCCCATGTGTAGCTTGTTTCTTTGTTAAGAGGGGAAAAACTAGTAAAAATTGGGATTTTCGAATAAAATCTGGCTCATTTGATCATGTTTTTTCAACCAAGAGTTCTTCAAAATTGAATTCAATCATTTTATATGGCAAAAATCAATCAAATCTCTGCGACTTGAAAAATTGAAAGTCTTCATGATAAATCGCTTCGAGATATGCCATTGTTTGGGGGTTTCCTTTCACTTGCTTCAGCAGATCTTTTTTGTGTGCTTCATTTGTTACGGCGTGTGAGGTCGAGGATCGATAGAGGTGCCGAAGAGTCTGCAAAATAGTACGATTGGGTAAATCCGAGTACGAAATTTAGCTTTTAAGCTTAGAGCTAGAGGATTTAAACTCAAAATTCTCAGATGCTTAGCGAAATTTGGATAAACTTCAACTAGTCTTTGTGATTCCACGCCAAAGGCGTTAACTTTGGCTTGGTCAGTAAAACCAGCTCTGGTTTAGCATGGAATAGAGCTACCCAACTCTTGTTTTGAATGGCTTAAAGGTATTTTGAATGGCTTAAAGGTCGTTTTTCCGGAAAACATTTTTCGATCAGAGAGGTCACTCTGTCTATCTGAGAGAAAACTGTCTAAAGATTTCAATATATAATTTTTTGGAGCCTTCAATGCTTGACGACTGCTTGACGACTGCTTGACGACTGCTTGACGACTGCTTGCCCGCGACGCTCGCCAGCTTGACCCGCCGCCTGCCTCAAATGCTTGCGCAATGCTTGACGCAATCTAGCAATTGCCATGCCGCGCATGCGCTGGCGATCTTGACGCAATGCTTGTGCGTTCGCGCTGCTACGCAAATGCTTGACGAATGCCGGCGCGTGCTGACGCAATGCTCTGCAATGCTTGACCAATTTGACGCAATGCTTGACGATGCTTGACGCAATGCTTGACGCAATGCTTGACACAATGCTTGACGCAATGCTTGACGACTCGTCCAAGATCCCATTTTCTCACTAATTGTAAATGATTTCGCTTTTACCTTTCTGGCAACGAGTGACGGAATACGGGCCTTCAAGAAAACGCGTAGCAATTCCCTTTCCATTCGGCGTCGATTCCGCGAATGGTGCACAACGAGGAGGGCTTTATTCGTTTCCAAGTGACAATAGCTGAAAGCGATAATGATATTTCGATCCAACAATGTTCTTTTGAAATGATCACAAAGAATACTTCGTTTGTGGCCACGAGTGCCACACGACCTCGTCCAAATTTCTCGATCGGGGTCTCAGACCGACAAAGTCGAGTGTTTGCAAAAGATGCACCCAACGGGCAAACTGATGAATGTTTTTGACTGTCGATGCGCACATTTTCGAGCTAAAATTGAAAATTGAAAGTGATTTGCATCAACAGGACCTAGGGTCAAATTTTCAGTCACAATGGATCTGGTCTGGCCAAGCCAAAGCCAAAGCCAAGCACCGTTTCCATCAGTTAATCGGCAAATCAATTAATCATCGTCACTATTGGCCAGCGCAACTCACGATTTGCACAAGAACTCGTATGTGGAAATGAAGCGCTCGAGCGGATCGCGAACGACCGTGAAAATGACATTTGTTCGAGGCCGTACCCATTTCGGCCATCCATTCGGATAGTTGCGATTTGCATCACAGGTGCTGAAGCAAATGTTGATGAGAGAATTCTAGAAAAACCCAGCCGCCAACAAAACCAACCCAGCCGCCGTTACATTGCCCCATTTAGGCGTGTACGTGATATTTTTGTACTCTTTGAGGACATCACAAAGAATCGCGCGAGTGACGACACTTCCGGCTTTTGGAATCAAACAATACTGCACTCCGAAACCTCTGTCCACCTGACATTTTGCTAGATTTCAATTAACTAGTCAGGGTTAGGGAAGATGGATGGAAAGGAAAAAACCTGCGGACTTTCGACGGCTTTCCCCCACAGCCATGGCACTGAAATGAAAATTAAAACTCAAATCAAAGAGAAAAATCAAATTCAAAACCTTTCTGAAATTGACTTTTGAACTGGCGCCAAAATTTGGGCCCTTCCTTTGCTGTTTCAATTGTCGGCAATAAAACGAGTGCAAGAATCAACAGAATCGAGCGCATTTTGACCGAAAAGAAGCTGAAAATGCACAAATGTACACTGGTATGTCATTTGAAATGGAAATGAAAATGGAAATGGAAATGGAAATGGAAATGGAAATGGAAATTCACTTTTGATCAGGATCTTTAGCGCCTCGGAAGAAAAAGGAGAGATCTGCAACGAAAAAAGAAACAATTTAATAAGAACAAATATCGAAGAGAAGAAGCAAAGGAAAGAAATGAATATCTAGCAAAAGAAATGAATAGCTAGCAAAGAAAAGCAATCACAAGCAACATGTTTTTCACCGATTCAATCGCTTCGAGGTTCCTCTTGGTTCCTGGAAAAAAGATTGCTATCAAAAAATTTCATCCTGTAATTGTTATTGTAGTTGATTAGTCACAGTATACTTCAAAATATTACGTTACAGTACCCCAAGCTTGGCTCAAATTGTCTAAGCTTTTTAACTGTCCGTAATCCTGGACTTTTGGAATTGTCCGAGACTTTGAATGAGTAGCCACGGTCTAAATGTTCATAGCTTTGCCTGAAGATGATATTATATCGCTATTTTACAGTGAACATTCAGATATTCAGATCTCTAAGTAAAGTTCTGAACCTTTAAAGAGTGACTACTCATTCCATTCCAAAAGCCGAGTTTTCTAGCACTTCGAAAGTCAACCACCTCTATCGATCCTCGACCTCACACGCCGTAACAAATGAAGCACACAAAAAAGATCTGCTGAAGCAAGTGAAAGGAAACCCCCAAACAATGGCATATCTCGAAGCGATTTATCATGAAGGCTTTCAATTTTTCAAGTCGTAGAGATTTGATTGATTTTTCCCATATAAAATGATTAAATTCAATTTTGAAGAACTCTTGGTTGAAAAAACTTTATCAAATGAGCCCGATTATATTCGAAAATCCCAATTTTTACTAGTTTTTCCCCTCTTAACTTCGGTAGCTCTTAACCTCTTAATCGTACGCAAACATCTAAAGGGAAAAGCTGCATGCTAATCGCTTTCCATTTCAGTGCCAGAATATGCGCAAGACCAGTCAAAAACATTCACCAGTTCGCGAGTTGGTTGTACGATTTGCACAAGCTGGACTTGGCCGGTCGGAGACCTCGATCGAAGAATCTTGACGATATTGTGTGGCATTCGTGGCCCCAAACGAAGTAAGAAGTTTTCGTAAAGCGTAAATGAAATTTGGGTTTTTCTGAGCAGATTCTAACGTTTCACTTTGATTTTCCTATCTTCTGAGATAAACACTTCTGAAAAAGACATATATTAAGCTTGCCAGAAAGTCGTTTCGCGATTTTCAGAATCGCGAAACGATTTTCGAAGAACCCATTTTCCCGGGCCTTGGCGATTCGGAGCTTCTTCGGAGTGTGAAGGCTTTTTTATCGGTGAATGCACAAAGAATTCCGATTGGATGGCTGAGGTAAGAAAGGTAAAAGTAAACTTAACTCTGATAACTACAGCGTGATCCAAAAGTTCCCGTACAGCTTTTTACTAAAACTTGATTTTAATGTTGCTGACCTTTCCTTGTAGGGTGATGGGAATGAAATCAGCGCTCACATATCTTTCGAAAAATAAAAAGGTTGCAAGTCTCAACCATTAAGTGTTGTATACTGTTCGAAAGCCCTGAATCTCCTCTACAAAATAATGCAAAAATATTTTGAATTGGATTGATTTTTGGGGACTTGGGTGACTTTTAAGTTGAAAGGTCAAAAATGATCATTTTCTGGAAATTGTGTTTCTGGTAATGTTCCCGCTTTTCCTTTAGAAAATACTTCAATTAAAGTTATATGAAAATAACATAAAAGAACTCCTTTTGCTTGTTCGTCTTCTAGAGCTTCTGTTTTTCGGAAAAGTTTCAGGCCACTTTAAGCCACAAACGGCTATTTTAGGTTCTGATTTTATTTGGATATAAGCTTAATTTTTGATTCTCTACAACTTTTCCATTGACACCAAAATGGGTTTCTTTTGAAGAAAGTGCTCAAACTGTCACATACGACAATAGCCGACACTTTAAAATACAAAAAAGAGCGCCAGGTTGTACTCGGGGCGCGAGCACAATCGCGCTCCTTCTGGCATCCTATTTTTTTTCCTCATATGGTTCCCTTTTCATGTCTCAAATCGGAAGCGTCCATTTTGGGTCATCCGGTAACCAATCCGTTGTCTGCCCCATGTGGTCACCGCTTCCCAAAACTAACCTCGGCTGTAGAACTGGTCAACCCAGTTCCGGCTTATTTTGACCATTATGGCGGGTTCTCTGTCGGTCGAGATGGGATCCCAAGTGCCTGTAAAAGGGTGCTGAAGGGAGCCGCTGTGAATTTTTGGATTCATCCCAAGGACTTCGGTCCGTAGGGGCAGCAAAGACTTCTGAAACGAAACGAGTAAATGGGCTCAAGCATTGCAAAATACCAGAGATGATGTTGACCTAGAATCGAAGGCCTAAAAGGGCTGTTTGTGGCCTGTAATGGCCTAAAATGAAACTTTTCCGAAAAACAGAAGCTCTAGAAGACGAACAAACAAAAAGAGTTCTTTTATGTTATTTTCATATAACTTTAATTGGCGGTATTTTCTAAAGGAAAAACCGGGGCATGGCTATTACCAGAAACACATTTTTCAGAAAATGATCATTTTTGATCTTTCAACTTAAAAGTCACCCAAGTCCCCAATAATCAATCCAATTCAAAATCTTTTTGCACTATTTTGTAGAGGAGATTCAGGGCTTTCGAACAGTATACAACACTTAATGGTTGAGACTTGCAATCTTTTTATTTTTCGAAAGATATGTGAGCGCTGATTTCATTCCCATCACACGTCCGCGCGAAAATGCGATTGCTACAGATTTCCGACATGCCTATATGTATTCAATGCAGAAAATCATGCTGATTCCAAATCTAAAAAGGATTTTAAAATCCGTCTTACAGTTTTTTAAACATTGCAATCTATTGAAAAATATCGTCATTTTCTATAGAAACGGCTAAAATGACTTCTCTTTGAAAGGCAAATTCTCGATGCCACAAGCAAATTACTTAATTTTAAATAGTAACTTTTGTCAACAAGACTCTTGCGCTTCTTTTGAAAGCAAAAACATTAAAATTGGTCAACCCTGAAAAAACTAGTAGCATTTTGAATGCGAAAATGGCGTTTTTCAACTTTCCGCAATTTTTCCGTTTTTTCTTTTCTTTGTAGGGTAACCTAGGCTGCAACCATGTTTTTCGGAATCAGCGTTGAAAATTAACCTAGAAAACCCGAAACTCGTTCTTCTAGCAATTGTAGTTTTTTTGAAAAAATTTTATACCCTAAAATTCCATAGATAAGAGCGGTTTAATTTTTGCCAAAATTTTTTTTAAAATTTTAATTTATTATGAAAACCAAACAACAACAACAACAAAAGTAACAATAATTTAACTAATATTTTCAATTTCTACATCGTCATCATCGTTTATATCCATACAGAAAAAATCGTCCTGTTTTTTCGTCCAGATCGTCCAGATCGTCCAGATCGTCCAGATCGTCCAGATCGTCCAGAAAAATCGTCCAGATTCCAGAAAAATCGTCCAGATTTTCCACATCACATAGTGCTTTTTCAAAGCTATGTAGGATAGTCGCAGAAGAGATGGAAGAAAAACTTTCGCTGACCAAAAATGCTGCTTCTTGGTAGCTCATTCTTCTGATTCTCATTCTTTTTCTGATTCCGCTTTTTGTATAATTTGCATTGGCTTCGTTTGCCATCCGTTTTTCCCAGCCATCCTTCAATTTGTAATTATATAATATCATTACTACTTGACAGAATTCCAAAGCTTGAAACAAATTCGGTGCAAAATTTTCGATTAGCCAAACCGATCTGATCACCAAGCCTAACCGAGCTGAAAATCGCTTTGAACATGACAAATCGGGCCGTTCTGCGCGAGATTTCAAAATGGTTTTCTTCTATAAACTGCATAAGCTCTTCAAAAAAAAGTCGGTAAACTGAGCGAGAGTGACGTTTCGAGAAGAAGGAACAGCAAAAGATTAAAAGTCGGCCTAAAAGAGAAACGAAAATTGGCTTGTTTCCCTTTTGGAGCAACACACAAATCTCGATCATTTGACTCATTTCGAGAATTTATGGGGATTGTAAAAGAACCGTTATAAAAGGCGTGTTTAAGCAAAATGAAGCAGAGTTTCGAGTCAAAAAATGCAAAACATCTGGTTGTTTCAAGCCTTGCTTTCCATATTGATCATCTTCAACCGTCCGAGCTCGGCTGCGAGTTGCCCGACCGGCTGGAAGCTCTACAACCAGTACTGTTACCGTGTGAGTTTGGTATTGTTTTTCTTTGAAAATGGGTAAGGTTCTAAAAATGTACTAAACATGTACTTGAAACATTTGGCTCTATAAAGGCCCATTTTCAGAAGATTCCAAAGAAGGTAAAGATTTGAAAAATTTCCCAAGAGGTCTGGCCAAGAGGTCTGGCCAAAAGGCCTTGAGGCCTGGCTACATACAAGATTAGCGAAAGTATTAGCGAAAGTCAATGTCGAAAATGGTTTCAACGCTTTCAAAGTGGCTCTATAAAGGTCCGTTTTCAGTAGATCCCAAAGAGGGTAAAGATTTAAAAACTTGAAATCCCGCAAATTTTTCGGCCAGCATCCTTATGCTTCTTCCTCAAGAGGGGGAATATTGATATATTGCTCTTCCTTCTTCCTTCCTTCCTTCCTGCTTCCTTCCTTCCTTCTTCCTCTTCTTCCTTCCTTCCTTCCTGCTTCCTTCCTTCCTTCTTCCTCTTCTTCCTTCCTCCTTATACTTCTTCCTGGCTACATACAAGAGTCAGGTCTGGCCAGGAGGTCTGGTCAAGAGGCCTTGAGGCCTGGCTACATACAAGATGACGCATTCAGTCGAACGATTCATTAAAAAGTACAATAGAGTACCATAGTTTTTTTAGAAAAATTATTATACTTTTACGTATCTATTAATATTTGGTTATACATAATTAATAATAACTGTCATATTAGGTTTTAAACTAAGTCTTGACCCTTCCTTAAATTGCTAATATCTCAGCACAGAATCAGTATATTTGAATGAAATTTTAAATGGATTATTCTCAAAAACTTACAAGCTTAATGCCTAAATTTTAAAGTTATTCGGCGATTAGCGACAAAGTTATAACAAAAAACACGGTGCTACTACCCCTTTTGGGCTTTTTTTCACACAAAATAAGTTAACTTAAAAATATCTATTTAGAAATTCAGTGAAATTCTTTTATAAATTAGTGTTTTCAGAATTGTCGTGTAATTTTAAAACTCAGGCAGAATAAAGTAGTATTAGGGGTTTGCAAAAGAAACTGCGTATTATACGCAACGTTCAAACACCTCGAAAATTAATAATAAAAGACTTTATTCCAAAAGGTACTCGCCAAAATTATCAACTATATTTTTCCATTTTTTACGTAGACTTCGGATGCCTGATTCGAAAGATTCCGGATCTTGTGACGCGAAATAGTCTTGCACCCAAATTTCGACTTCTTGGTAATTGTTAAACTGTTGATTTGCAAGGGAGTGTTGCATAGACAGGAACAAATGGTAATCTGAGGGAGCGATATCAGGCGAATAGGGCGGATGAGGCACGAGTTTCCAGCCTAATTCTTTTATGGTGTTTTGAGCCAAGTTTGATGTGTGTACCCGGAAATTGTGAGCGAGTAAATGGATTGTCCTTGGATTAACACCTCTTTCTCGTAGAATAGCATCAACTTTCTTCAGCTCTTCGGCGTAGATTTGAGAAATTATAGTATTCGGCTCATTCGGGCAAAGTTTGAGTTGGATCCAACTCTACAATCTCCAGCAACTCTGCATTATCGAAGACAACTGGACAATATCCATCTTCCAAGCTGCCATCCCCTTCACGAAAACGTCGAAACCATTCCTGGCAAGTCCTTTCACTCAAAATGTTTTCTCTGAATGTTTCACAAAGATTCGGGTGCGACTTCGATGCTGATTTCTTCATTTTGAGGTCATAGAGAAGGCACGCTCCCAACATGAGTTTTTGATCCGTGATCTTCGACAACTAAAATTATTTATAATTCAATGGTCAAACAAATGTGAAAATCAGTAAAATAAATAAGCGTTATCAACACAATAGAATAAAATTTAAACTGGGTTAGAGCACTTTCAAATAGAGAAAATATTGTTCCGGAAAGTCATGCGCAGTTTCTTTTGCAAACCCCTAATAGTTTCGGACAAATAGCAATATCAAATTTTCAGCGATTTCAACGGACAGCTAGATAAAATTTAACCCTCTTGAAAAATTAAATAAACTTTGCTAAGAGTTTTGAGACTTTTTCAGGAAGTATCTACATTATTCTAGTTTTAAATGTAGTAGAATAAAATTTGTATTTTTTTCCTCATGTGCTCATATTTTTGAATTTAGCACTTAGAGGTAAAAAAATTGCCCTTGCACAGTCTTTTTGCTATAACTTTGTCGCTAATCGCCGAATAACTTTAAAATTTAGGCATTAAGCTTGTAAGTTTTTGAGAATAATCCATTTAAAATTTCATTCAAATATACTGATTCTGTGCTGAGATATTAGCAATTTAAGGAAGGGTCAAGACTTAGTTTAAAACCTAATATGACAGTTATTATTAATTATGTATAACCAAATATTAATAGATACGTAAAAGTATAATAATTTTTCTAAAAAAGCTATGGTACTTTATTGTACTTTTTAATGAATCGTTCGACTGAATGCGTCATCTTGTATGTAGCCAGGCCTCAAGGCCTCTTGACCAGACCTCCTGGCCAGACCTGACTCTTGTATGTAGCCAGGAAGAAGTATAAGGAGGAAGAAGAGGAGGAAGGAAGAAGAGGAAGAAGGAAGGAAGGAAGCAGGAAGGAAGGAAGGAAGGAGGAAGAGCAATATATCAATATTCCTCCTCTTGAGGAAGAAGCATAAGGATGCTGGCCGGAAAATCTGCGGAATTTCAAGTTTTTAAATCTTTACCCTCTTTGGGATCTTCTGAAAACGGGCCTTTATAGAACCACTTTGAAAGAGCTGAAACCATTTTCGACATTGACTTTCGCTAATACTTCCATCTCCATCTCCAAATAATTGAGATTCAGCGGCTGATTTTCCTTGTTTAAAATCGTAGAGCATAGCTGCGCAAATAGGAAATTTTTCGTCCTCCATTTTTTTTCAGGAAAATAAGGACTCACAAATTTGAAAGCGGTGCTATTTTTACGCTAAAATATTGTAGTTTCTTTGAAGAAAAAAACCCCACGAAAAAACTTTTTGAATTCTAAGAAGTCATTGAACCAAGCCAGCGATCGTTTATAGCTTGCCAACCTAATACAAGAAATGACTCGTTTCTTCATTTTGACTCGATGATTAGCTCACTGATGTGCCATTGCAGAATTGTTATGTTTACGTTAAAATATTGTATTTAAAGTGACATGATGTTTTGCAGCAATTGCAGACGAAATTGCTGGATTTGCTTGTATGGAGAATGGATAAAACCTATGTATTTTAGTGTCATCACTTAGAATTTCTAGCTTGGCAAGAGCTCTCTCACCGACACTTACGTGAAAGCGGTGAAATCGTGTCAATCGGCTGGCGCCAAGCTGGCTTCGATTCACTCCCTCGCCGAGAACAACTTTGTCTCTAGTTGGTTGAGAATTTTACACTTTTAGGAAAAACTTGGTTTAAGAAAGCATCCTTTTAAAAGTATCCGGCTTCTCTAGACCACCAGAAATTTTCGTTCAGATCTCGCTTGGTCAAAGAGCTGTACGGTGAACGCGAAACTCTGGCGACCGGGCCAGACGCTCATCGGCGGAGTCTACGACAGTACGAGTGAGTTTTTATATAGCAAAGTCTTTACAGCAATGTAAAACTTCTAAAAACAGATGTGTGTTGGGTCAGCTTTTTCGCATTGATGCAAATTTTAAACTTTTCGAGAAAACGATCGGCCTCAAGCCAAGCCGAATTTCGAACCGACACAAGTCTTGAATTTAAATGAATTGCTAATAGATTTTCTTTGTTAGTTTATAGCTAACAAAGTCACTAGATGGAGTGACGGAACGGCGGTCAACTACACAAATCTTGCGTCGAAATTCTGGATTACAAGCGTTTCAGGCGGTGGCCTTGTGAAAGGCGGTGGAAATGTCGTCTTTGTGGGTGAAATGAAAGAAACGCTGCTTTGTTTGTATGGCGAATGAGTACAACCTACCGTAAATACTGTAATAGTACCCCACCCCCCTCGTACAGTCGCGTAGTCGCAAAAGTTTTTTAGTATTTCATTTTTTTTAAAGCAGCCGTACTTTCAAAAATGCATCTTTAGTATCAAAAGATAGCCCTGAATTTCAGCTATTTTTTGATACCTAAGCGCGCATTGTAGCATAGGCCAGTGTCGAGAAAAACGCGTCCAAAGCTAGACTACGCGACGTTCCGCACCGTGATTATGGGGGTGGGGTACTATTACAGTATTTACGGTATTTACAGGGTGGCCGTAAAGGATAGCAACAACTTTTTGAAGTATCTGGAAAATGTTTAATTTATTTTAGCAGTGTCAAGAATAAGAATAACTTAAATTTTGATTATTTTGATCCAGCAAAATTCAGCGAAAATCCAGCGAAAATTCAGCGAAAATTCAACCAAATTCAACCAAATTCAGCCAAAATTTAGCCAAAATTCAGCCAAATTCAGTTTAATGTGATTTTTAATGTTATTAAGTGATGTCAAACGCTATTTCTTGTATTGAAATATTGAAAAACTTTTCTTAACAATTTTTAATAGAGAAAAGCAGCTAAATGACAGATTCGCTGGAGAGATCTCGACTAGCGCATTCAAGCACTTCTTAAATGAGTTGTACAAGTTCAAGCGGAAAGCTTTTGGTAGATAAATGTTGCCGAGAATTAAGGTTGCAATTCTCTATTTAACACTTTCCACGTTTGAAATAGATTAGACATTTCGCAGATAGTTTTCCAGAAAGTTGTAGCTAGAATTAGAGGTATACCTATATTGGACTGGGGAGAATGAACTAGCGCCGAAAATCAAAGGAATTTCTAACATTTCTAATCAATTTCTAATCAATTTCTAATCAAAGGACTTCTTCAAATGATACGCGTTTGATATGAGTAAAAAGGTTAACTAATTCTCTACAAAATAACATTTAAAAGAGAACTCAAAAAGCGCCTCATCACAAAACCTATAAACTATCATTTAGAAAAAACGTTTGGAGGAATCTCTCTGAAAATTTGACAACTTATGTAATTCAGTGTGCTCTATCTTTCTTATGTAGACACCAAAGGAGGTTTATGTGGAAGAAACTGTTCAAATGATGAGTCGGACGCCATTTTGACGAGCTATGTTTGGGAGTCCATAAACTCCACAAAAGAGAAGCTTTATGGAAACTCTCAAAAGTCATTTTTTTAGAGAAATAGTGGACCATTTTGATGAAACAAAACGTTTCTTTAAAGACGGCCTTAGGCGTGCCAAAAAGTCTTTAAAGTTCTGCCATTTCATTCTCTCCAACCCAATTAAAAAATTTCTCTCCAAATATAGTGTTATCATTTGAAATTTACTGCAGTTATCTGTAGGAAAGCTTTGTTTAAATGAATTGCTAATAGATTTTCTTTATATTACTAACGTTTATCAGATGGCCGCCAACGATTGTGGGGATAAATTTTCTCGGCAATGGCTCTCGATCGGCCCCAGTCATGACGGGATTCCGCAATTCGTTTGCAAAAAGAAGGCCACATGATTGCACAAGATACCATTAAAAAATTTTTGCTAATGCCACTTTTTTATTGTTTAAGCTTAGAATGGTTCACAATAAACCTAATCAGCTGTTTTTTTTGGTCAAATCTTTATAGGAAACACCACTTGATGTTCGTTTTTAAACGGTCATCCATTCGATTGATCGAAATGACTGATTTGATTCAAAACAGATCCCGAAAAAGATTTGTAATGATGAAAATTGAAATTACTAAAGTTGGCTATTTCTCTCCATCAGGAATGGAAAGTTTTCCTTTGATCCAGCATGAATAGGTCGTGAAATGACAATGTTTTTCAACCACTTTAAGCCTAAGCCTGATCGCTAATCAACTAACCGTTTTTCTCGAATGATTACAGATTAGACGTATTAGTTTGGTTAGCTATGGGATTTTACACAAAGTTCTAGAGTCAATGTGATCTATGCTCATTTTGTGACACTGCCATCAAGTCGTCGTCAAGGGTGAAGTCGTCGAAAATTCTCCGGATTGGCTGGAAGCAAGGTTTTGAGTTGGAGGATCAAGCGGCAAACGCCCTACCTGGCTGCCCCATATGTATTCAATAAACTTGGTTTTGTTATTCATTCAAGCAAAAACGCACAAATCTAGCCACGTCTAGTGAATTTAAAGGAAAGCACACTAGTAATTCGTCATACAGAGTAAATTAGTTTTGATATCCCGGACCAAGGGGCAAACGCGCTACTGGAAAAAGGCTGGAAAAAGAGAAAACTTTCCATTTTTCCTATTATAACTTTAGAATTTTTGGTCTCTCCCTTTCTGACAACATTTTGTTACTTATTCCTTTCAGAAAACTTTTTAAAAGCTTTATCGATCTAATACTAAACTATTTTGTATAAAAAATGATGTTTTTGCCATTTCCATCAGTTGTTTGAGTGACGTTGACTGTTTGAGGCTCAAACTTTGAGCAAATATTTTCCTGTTTTATTTTGTTTTTTAATCAACAATTCCTCAATTGAAAAATATTCCTTATCAGGGTAGACTTGTTATTGACGGGAGGCTAGGGGTGTCTCTGACTAAAACAGAAAGCTTTTCGCATCAATTTTTATTAAGTTCTGAAACTCTCTTTTCAATTTTATTTGATTTTATTTGAATACCTTGATTTCTTAAAGTACGGTAACTTTTATACGAAAGCTTTTATGTAGATTTATATGTACTAGGATTGTGTATTGTAATGCAGATCGTATCCAGAAGTTTTAGAAACAAGATTATGCCAAATATCTTACAATCCAATAAGCTTTTATGTAGATTTATATGTACTAGGATTGTGTAATGAGCAGATCATAGCCAGAAGTTTTAGAAACAAGATTATGCCAAATATCTTACAATCCAATAAGCTTTTATGTAGATTTATATGTACTAGGATTGTGTATTGTAATGCAGATCGTAGCCAGAAGTTTTAGAAACAAGATTATGCCAAATATCTTACAATCCAATAAGCTTTTATATAGATTTATAGGTACTAGAAAAGTGTAATTGAGGACAATTAAAGACAGAAAAAACGAAATAGAAAATCGAACTCAAATCAGCATAGGCGATTCTATAAAGTCTGATTAGAGGGATCCTTGCACTTTTCTAGTTAGAACTATAGTAGACTTGTGTTTCGGTTGAACCAGAAACCTTCTTTTTCGGTTCAGTTTCGGTTTCGGTTTCGTTCTTTTTCAGTTAACCGAACCGAACCAAACCGAAAAACTAATCTTTTCGGTTGAACCGAACCAAACCAAACCGAAAAACTAATCTTTTCGGTTGAACCGAACCAAACCAAACCGAAAAAGTAATCTTTTCGGTTCAACCGAACCAAACCGAAAGATTTCGGTTGACTTCGGTTGAACCGAAACCGAAACCGAACCGAAAAGAGCCAACCGAAAAGAGCCAACCAAAACACAAGTCTAAACTATAGTACTAGGGAAAACGATAACAAAACGATGCTTATAAATATCTTACCATTGGGTTTTAGTTATAATACTTTTATAGATGTTTCATCGCTCCACAAAATTTTATTTAGAAATCCAAAAGTCGACAAAATGCTTTTCTACGGACTCGGAGTGATGGCCGCCATATTTATCGCCTTTTTCTCGAAGTCTCTATTTGAGTCGTTTTTTGATTAATCGCTGATTCGTTCGGAAATATTTTATTTTAAAATTGTATTTATTTATTTAAAATATGAGCTTTTAAATAAAACTTGACCTAATTTTTAGCGAATTTTGGGTTAAACAAAGAAAAACTTTATAGCAAGCAAATCAGGACCGAAAAAAGTGACAGGGAAGGGCAAGCATTAACAGAATTTTACCAGAGAAAAACAAAATCTAGAAAATAGTGGCTTTATAAAGATGAAATGGTCTTTTTTTTTGAGGTGTTATGTCCCGTAGAAAGTCCTATGGAAAAAAACTGAATAGGAGATGAGGATCAGAAAAATCAGGAAAGAAAAAAACGCCAAGGAGGGTATTTCGCTTTTTGGTGTTTACAATATTGCTAGAGCATTGCTCTGTTTGAACTTGGACGGCCTTTTCTTCTTCTTCTTCAGGGATCCATTTACCTTTTCCAACTGTCACTGTATTTAATTGCATTAAGAGTTTTCTTGCTATCCAGCAACTCCTACTACGCCACTCCCACTATATTCCAGAAAACGCAGAGCATAAACTTCTTCTGATACAAATCGGGCTTGGGGTCACTTTCGGGTTTCTCGACTGACCCCACCCATTGCCGCTTCCTCCGAAAGTGCATAGATCAAACCTATTTCTCATCTCCTGTCACAATTCGAGGAAGAAAAGATTTCCTTTCGTATCGTGAGAGATGAGCGGCACTGATGGAGGCGCGCTGCCACTTCTGAGGGTCAGTGAGGTCATGGGGCACCCAAGCCCTAGGTTTCGATTTAAATCCAAGGGTTTAAAGGTGCCTTAACACTGTAGCATGATCAACCCCTAACTCTTCTCCCAATTCACGCGATGATACCCGATGGTCGTTGATAATGAGTTCGAGTAATTTGGAATCATTCAGTTGGGGTGCCGCTCCACGGCCCTTTGCATCTTTCAAAGATTTGTCCCCAGATCGAAACTTGGTACTACTTGACACATTATTTCGAAAGATCCTCCTCATATACCTTTTTAATATTAGCAGCTGCCAAGCCTGCACTGTGCTCTTGTAGGAACTCATGAAGCATGACATGACGAATATGTCCCGGTGGCAGATTGTCGAGTGCAATAGAAGAAGTGAAGAAATATGCCAAAAAATAAAAAGCTGGAAGCTTATTTTTTTCGCAATAATTAGTGGAAATGTTGAAGTAAACAAAACCCCCTTTCAGCTGGTTCTATGCTGTTGTTTTCTTTCTCTGCGAGTCCCGCAAAATAGCCCGCAGTTTTCAATGCACCAACCCAATAGAACGTATTTAGCGTCCTTATTCCGAAATATTCTTAAAAATCGCCGGCTGTTCTGCAAGCTGACTTGGGTGAGTTCGAGTTTACACACTTGCATACCAGCTACTGATTTAGGTTTGACATTAGTTTTGGCTCTAACTTATTTTCTAATTGTTTTCTTGTGTTGATTTATTTAAACATAAATCAGAGGACATTTACAGCAAAATAAGGTGAAGAAACCGGGAATCGGAACTGGATTTCAAAGTCTACCGATCAAAATGCTTGGCAATGGCAAGAATGAAAATATCAAGGTTTTCAATTTCAGGTTTCAGATTTTATTGAAGGTCAAAAGTAGATTTATGATAAATAAATGATTTTGCTTGTTTTTCCAGTATTTTTCGACATTTTTATAGTAGTCAAAAAAATCCTCGTTTTTTCCAAAGTACATTTTTTGTGCTTATAGAGTTATTGACCAAAAGAGCCACAATTGCAAAAGGTGGAATCGATTTTGGCTTGTTCAGTACAAAGAACAATGAAAATGGCTGGGGAAAAGATCTTTCAACATCTCTCAACACAAGAAATCTTAAGATTAAGATTCTTAAGATGAAAGACTCTTAAGAGGGTCTAGGTGAGAAAATATTTTCACTTTTAAACGTCTTTTCTGTATGTTTTAGACCAAGCTGAAATTGTGATAAGGTACTTTTCTCTTACTAGACCTTTGTCAATCTGACAAGTGCTCCTAATCAGATCGTTTGGAGCAACCTTGAAATAAGCGGGAACAAAATCGCTGAAACATTTCTAATTCAATTTGTCAATGATTGGTTCTCCAACCGCCAAGCAACCGAAAATGTACTACTAATATGCTTTTGAAAAGCCGAGACAACTTGAGACAACATTGGTGCGAGCGCTTCATTCGAGCGCTCCTAATCAAAAGGTCAAAAGTAGATTTTATGCTAATAAATGATTTTGCTTATTTTTCCAGTATTTTTCGACATTTTTATAGTAGTCAAAAACACCCTCGTTTTTTCAAAGTAAATTTTTTTGTGTTTACAGAGCCATTGATCAAAAGAGCCACAATTTCAAAAGAGGGGAATCGATTTTGGCTTGCTCAGTGCAAAGAGCAATGAAAATGGCTGGGGAAAAGATCTTTCAACACAAGAAATCGTCTCGATTTTTCCATTTTCACAAGAGTTTTCTTTAATTTTCCGATTTTCGAAAGTCCCGATGACTATTCGAGAAAAGTTACGAGAATTTCGTTTTATTTTGGTGCTTTAGAGTTGACTTTTTCTTTATAGTTTATCATTTTCTTTTTGACTTTAAACTTTTGACTTTTTTTGGCAATTTTAGCAAACAAGTTTTCAAGTTCTGGATTTCAATTTTCAGCTTTTTTTCGTGCCTTCAAAGTCTGACGTTTTTAGAGGAATTTTTAGCTTTTTAAACATTGCTTTTCTCTGAATCTATACCTGCACAAACTTCACTCATATCTTTGTATTGAACATTGATATTGAACTCTATTTTTGTTTCCGTTTCTATCTCCGTTTTTCCTTTTTTCTCCCTTTTTCTCCGTTCTTGTTGCCGTATCTTGCCGTTGCCGTTTTTCCTTTTTTCTTCCATTGCGTTCTCTACTCAAGATCAGAGGCAAAGTTGGACAGCAAAATTTGAGAGAAAGGAATTTCAGAGAATTTTTAGAGAAAGTCGAGAGACCAGCGCGAGAGATCAGCGCCGAAAAGAAGAAAAACTCTCCTTTTTTTCTAATCCAGAACATTTTTGCTATATAAAAGACCCGGTTAAACCCCCGACTTCATATTGAATGAAAACTTTTAACTTTTTTTGTCTCGAATCGTAACCAATCAAAACATTGCCGTTATACTTATAGAAATTCAGTTGCTTTTCATATTCAAGAAACGTATCGATGCTTTAGATCTAGTGGCTCTTTGCCGTAAGTAATTGGCTTATTGATTTCAGTATGTATTGTATGATTAAGTATCACTGTGCATTTCTCTATGATTTCTTTCACTTTATCGTTTGAATAAAGTATTATTATACTCGCTTTGCAAACCTTTCTTTACTTTACTTTAATTAAAACTTCTTTAAATGCCAATTGATTTAGACCAGTCAAACTTAAATATTAATTGTTGATAAATTTACTACAGTTTATCAATTTACTACTAAGTATGAATTTAAATAACTAAACAAAATTTGAGAGGCAAATTTTCCCGTTTACCCAATATTCCTTTCGACTCTCGCTTCCGACCGTTGGAACTTTTTGCTGCTTTCTCAAAATACAAAAGTTTTATGAAATTTTCTAGTGTTAAGATAAGCAAAAGATAAGCATATTCCCTGCAACATATTCTGAGAAAATGAACTTAAAATCCATTTTTTAAAGTAAGGAGCACACTTCTTTTGAAACGTCGTCCCATTTCGTCTAAAAGTAGTAAAAGTTCTTTTACAAATCGAGCAGTTACGTTCTGGAGTCCTTTTCTTTTCTTCTGGAATTCTTTTCCAAATGAAATTCGCAATCTTTCATCTCTAAGCTCGTTTAAATCCGCTATTTCTCTGCTCAAACTATTCAATTTACTAGATCTGTAATGGTACTATGCTTTTTTTTTCCTTTCTTGAAGCTCTAGTGGATTCTTGACGTTATCTGTGCTGCCCATATATTAACCCATTCGAAACTTCTGCAGCGAATAATCGCTGCAGCAAAAACTCAGAAACGGACCGCTGCAGCGATTATTCGCTGCAGCGCTAATTGAGCTATTTTCATTCAATTAATTTGTTTTTTTTTGCTGTTTTTCAGCATTACATTTATATTCCAATTGTAACAGATCTACAAATTACGTGGGCAAAAAAGACGTGTCATATTTACCCGGAATCAATGCAGCCTCTGGTTTTGCATTGAAATGTTCCATAATAGCTCTAATCTTGTAAAGCCGATCTCCTGCAGGATCCAGTTCATTATCACAAAAACGCAAGTTTCGAAGAATAGATTCAAATTTTGCTCTTGACATAATGTGGGACATGTGGGAAAATCCTCCTAATCCAGGCCTGCTACTCCAGTAGTCACGAATCCTCGGTAATTTGACGATTCCCATTTGAAGCCAGGAAGAGCTTGAAAGATTTTGCATCGAAATCCTGCCAGTTTGTTTTCCTTTTTCCATGTTTATTAGATTCGCCTACGAAAATATTGTCGTCGATAAAATAAGAACAATAATCGATAGGATCTTGAAAAGTACTGAAGTCAAATCCAAATCGTTCTTCATCAAAAATAAATGGTGTAGGAGACTCTCTTACATCTTTCCAACCATAAATAAACTGCTTCGGAGTCAAAAATGTCAAAAAAGGGCTTAGTCCGTAGACGAAAAAAAAGAAAAAACTCTGCGGTTTCGAATGGGTTAAATACATTATATCGTGTTGCTTTTTATCGGTGGTTTTCGTGTTTTTCGTGTTTATGTATATGAATTCATGTGTATTAATCTTAAATCTTGCGCACTTTATTTCATATCCTGGGTTCGCATCCGTTTCCTTCCTTTTTGCGTTCCTATTTTGCAATTATTCGCGTCGCATTTTTTTGTCTTTTTTTCTCTCTTTCCGAAATTATTTTTTTGATTGGAAGAGGGGTTTTTTTGGCAGAGCTTCTGGCCCTTTTTGGGGTTGGGGGTTTTTGCCTTCGTTCTTGAGGGACTTTGATGTTTCTGCCTTCGTTCTTGCGGACTTTGATGTTTCTGCCTTCGTTCTTGAGGGACTTTGATGTTTCTGCCTTCGTTCTTGCGGACTTTGATGTTTCTGCCTTCGTTCTTGAGGGACTTTGATGTTTCTGCCTTCGTTCTTGAGGGACTTTGATGTTTCTGCCTTCGTTCTTGCGGACTTTGATGTTTCTGCCTTCGTTCTTGAGGGACTTTGATGTTTCTGCCTTCGTTCTTGCGGACTTTGATGTTTCTGCCTTCGTTCTTGAGGGACTTTGATGTTTCTGCCTTCGTTCTTGCGGGCTTTGATGTTTCTGCCTTCGTTCTTGAGGGACTTGAATGTTTTTGCCTTCGTTCTTGCGGACTTTGATGTTTCTGCCTTCGTTCTTGAGGGACTTTGATGTTTCTGCCTTCGTTCTTGCGGACTTTGATGTTTCTGCCTTCGTTCTTGAGGGACTTTGATGTTTCTGCCTTCGTTCTTGCGGGCTTTGATGTTTCTGCCTTCGTTCTTGAGGGACTTGAATGTTTTTGCCTTCGTTCTTGCGGACTTTGATGTTTCTGCCTTCGTTCTTGAGGGACTTTGATGTTTCTATTCATGCGCATGCTGTTTTTGTAATGGGCATCGTTGCATTTTTGGTTCTTTACTAATAAACAGTAAAATTATAAATTCAATTTACTTTCTGCTACCCTTCAGATTTTAAATCCTGTTTAGATAGCTGGTTTAACACTGTAGAAAGAACGTACAAACATTTGTGTCGCCATCGACGAAGTATCAATCCGTTCTGTACTCTTATCACGAGTATTAACCTTATGTTGGATGCTGCGTGTTCTTGTTATGTTGTAAGCTTTTTGGGGAAACCCTTTTAACCTTTTTTGTGCTACTCGGCTATTCTGAAGCAAAGTTGATGATAAGGTGATAAGGTTAAAGCGGGTCGCACCCCAAACTCTGGATAAAGTATTTATCTTTCTTCCAATTACAGTCGATCTTCGAGATAACGACCTTCGAAACAATGAATTTGAGATTCTAAAAAGTGTCCAAAATTTCTGCATAACTTTTCCAGCCAAATGCAATCAATGGCGGTCCAGGGCAAAAAATTTGAGGCACTTTTTAGGTTCGTAATCGAAGTTCAACTGTAATTGCAAACTATTAGGTTGATGCAAAAGTCTTTTTCATCCATTTCGTCTGCCTTTTCAAGCCAACAAATGCACCAATTAAACTACGGTTGATTTCATTAGAAAAACCAATTATTTTTCTGCAAAATAACATTAAAACGGGTTTAAAAATATTTTATGCCTGGATTTTCTTGAGAGTATGAAGTCGGGTAGTCAAAAAGGGCTAACTCGATGATGCGGTTTAGACACCTTAGCTAAAGAAAACCTATCTTCGTGTCAATAGATAAAAGATAGAGAAAAAAAAGTTTGATATTTCAGAGAAATTCATTCAGCCAATTTTTCCGTAGAGTTTTTTATAGATTTTTACGAAAAAGGCGTTTTTCACTCTCGGATTTGCTTGAAAGTGAACCGAAATTGATTTAAAAAGATGCAAATTGAACAAAAAAACACTTTTTTTATAGAGCAAACTATAGATTAATTGGTGAATTTGTTACTTTTTAACAGAAGTACGAAAAAAATGAAAAAGACTTTTGCATCAACCTAATATGTAAGTTTAAATTTTGTTTGTTGTGAATCTTTTTGTTATGCTTTATTTAACATTATTATTATTATTATTATTATTATTATTATTATTATTATTATTATTATTATTATTATTATTATTATTATTATTATTATTATTATTATTATTATTATTATTATTATTATTATTATTATTATTATTATTATTATTATTATTATTATTATTATTATTATTATTATTATTATTATTATTATTATTATTATTATTATTATTATTATTATTATTATTATTATTATTATTATTATTATTATTATTATTATTATTATTATTATTATTATTATTATTATTATTACCCCTTGGCGACCTTTCTCGCGATCTCGCCAAATCCGGTTCTTCTAACTTTTCTCAAAAACTTTTCTCAAAAGTGTGTTCCTCTCGAGTAATACGTCTTCTAAAAAGCACCTTATTGAGAAAAGTACCGTAGCCGTTAGTTTACAGGTTTAAGCCAAACCGTTAGTTTACATTCGATCAGCCCGATTTTTGTATCATTGACTGAGCATTGTAATTCCTCATTGAATGATACCAAAATCGGACGAATTAAATGTAAAATAACGGTTTGACTACGGTAATTTTCTCAAATAAATGCATTCTAAAAACGCATTACTCTAGAGGAACACACTCTACTCAAAAACGGTCAGAGATTTTTCAATTCTGATTTGACAGGTCAAATTGTCTCGAAATAACAACCGAAAATCCTAATTTTTTATGAAGTGAAAGGACAGACACAAACTTTGTGTCTTTTAATAAGTAAGATTAGTAATTGCAAAAGATTCCAGTTCGATTACTTTGAGCTTTCAAAACTAGAAACACACTCTTTATCTTTCGTTTCACTCATTTCATTCTATAAATCTTTCTACAAATCTACAAATCTTTAAAAGCAGCTTTCTGAGTGCTTTGCGGTGTACTTTAAGCTACTTTTTAAGCTACTTTTAAGCTAGTTTTTAAGCTAGTTTTTAAGCTACTTTTTGAGCTGAAAACACACCCTTTCTAGTGCACTCAATTCTATTCATTCAATTCAATTTCTCATAGATTCGATGCTAGGAAAAATGAAGAATTCAGTGCATTAGAAAAGATTTGTTTGCAAATTTGCCATTTGACATTTGAGCACAAAGTAGACTCAAGTCAATATAAGCGAACCATTTTGCACTGGGAAGCTGTTTCCATGACAAAACTCCGATTTCTCCAGCTATCCCCATTTTTCCAGCTATCCCCATTTCTCCAGCTATCGCCATTCTTCCACCTATCCCCATTCTTCCATTTATCGCTCTGTACCTTGTGATCGTCTGTGGAACAAAGATTACACTTAGAAAATCACTTTAAATACTAAAAACTAGCTGATAATTTCAAATTTTTACACATCTAATGAAATCGCTCGGCTTATATACAAAATTTTTGTAAGCATAAGCTTCAAAAGTCATCTTAAAAAGTCTCAAATATCATCAAATTCCCAAAAATTTCTCAAAAATTTGCCATTTATATTTTGTGATTTCTCTTTTTTTGCTTTTTTGCATCCCGATTTTTCACCGGATGACAAAATAGTTTATGCCTGGGCTTATCTTTTCTGGAAGAAGCCTCTTCTCCTCCAATTCAACGTCAGATTAGCTGGATGTTTATTGGATTTGTGTTTAGAATGAAATGCAAAGTTGAAATCTTTGACTCTTATCTGATTAGTAATCATTGAAGTGGGTATTTAAGTGAAGATAGATTCATTGTTAGACATTTTAAAGTTTTGCTTCTTTCCCACCTTCTTTCCCACCTTCTTTCCCACCTTCTTTCCCACCTTCTTTCCCAGCTTCTTTCCCAGCTTCTTTCCCACCTTCTTTCCCACCTTCTTTCCCACCTTCTTTCCCAGCTTCTTTCCCAGCTTCTTTCCCACCTTCTTTCCCACCTTCTTTCCCAGCTTCTTTCCCAGCTTCTTTCCCAGCTTCTTTCCCAGCTTCTCTCCCAGCTTCTTTCCCACCTTCTTTCCCACCTTCTTTCCCAGCTTCTTTCCCAGCTTCTCTCCCAGCTTCTTTCTCAGCTTCTTTCCCACCTTCTTTCCCAGCTTCTTTCCCAACTTCTTTCCCGGCTTCTTTCCTGGCTTCTTTCCCAGCTTCTTTCCCAGCTTCTTTCCCATCCAATTTTCTCTATTCTCTTCTTTTCTAGAGCAAAAGTCCTTAAAACTTTTTGAGATTCGAGGTTTGATAAGCAAAAAGATTTGATAGGCAACCAAGTAAACATTTAAAATCTCTGCTTCTTTACTGTAAATGTATTAATTGCATTAGATTTGCTAGTTTTTATAAATTGGCATGTTCGAATTTTGCTATTGGCATGTTCGAATTTTCGAAATTGAAACCAGAAACATCTACAATCCCTGTACAAATCTATTTTATTATTGTTTTCTAGTCGATTAGTGATTTTTTTAGTGACAATCTGTCTTCCAATCGTTGAATTTTTCATCTCTCCCTTGCTCACAACATAAAAAGAAATTGCTTTCTAGATAAGAGACAAAGCTGTGGATTTCTTGAAGCTTTTTCTTTCAAATCTTGAATTCTCATTTATAAACTCACCATTTTCAGTTTATTTTCAGTTTACAATGTCGAAAGTGAACAAGAGCTACCACGGCCACGAGGATCCGATCATTGATTATTGCACTGGAGTAAGTTTTCAAAAAGATAATCAAAAATAGTTACGCTTAATGTTCTATATGCTGAATATGCACTGTGTGTTTTATATGCCGAATTGTTAGATCAGTTCCAATTTTAGCTCACGATCAAACTCCACCCACTTCAACAAGAACTCCAAGATGCCACTCTTGCTCATCACAAGATGTACGTGATGTTGGGAGCCCCTGAAGTAAGCAGAATTTTAAAATTTCAATTTAAACACGAGCTACAAAATCAGAGCTAACAGCTAAAAACAAATAAACAGAAAAATTCAGGTCTTGACAATCGGTCAAAACTTCCTCAAGCTCATCCAAGGAAAGAACTGCTTGGATATCGGTGAGTTTTGAGTCCAATTAGATGTACAATTAGATGTAACTTAGATATTGATTAGATTATCAATTGATTATTGATTAGATATCAATTAGATATCAATTGATTATTAATTAGATATCAATTAGCTGTAAATTAGATATTGATTAGATTATCAATTAGATACCCAAGTAAACCTTTACCTTTTGACCCGCGTTGAATCATAAACCTTGAATGCTACTGGTATATTGAACTTTTCAGGAACCTTCACCGGTGCCTCGGCTCTCGCCTGGGCTCTTGCCATTCCCGATGATGGAAAGGTAGTGAATTTTGATTCTATCATAAAAATGTTCACAAGACTTAAGTCCAAGTTAGATCAAGATCATTTCTTTTAGGTCGTGACAATGGATGTCGATCACTCAGCTCTTGACGAGATCGGTCGACCGGTCATCGACAAATGCTCAAAAACCGCGCACAAAATCGACTTCAGATTGGGATCAGCTATTGATACTTTGGGTAAGTCTTGACTTTAGTTTTGAACTAGTTTCAGTTTTACAAAACCAATTTTAGACAAATTGATCGCTGAGGGAAAATCCGGGCAATTCGACTTTGCTTTCATTGATGCCGACAAGGAGAACTACACAAATTACTATGACAAATGCATGCAATTGCTTCGACCCGGTGGTGTGATTCTTGTCGATAATGTGAGTTTTTGACCTGGCTGGTAGAAGGTATACTTTGTGATTGAAAACAGAAGCTGTGAAGCTGTTAAGTGAAGCTTATTCAAAGTTGCCATTTTCTATTTCAAAATGCTATTGCAGGCCCTCTGGAGCGGACGTGTCACCCATGAGAACAAAAGCCCTGACTCAGCTGCTATCGATGCTTGCAACAGACATATCAGTGCTGATAAACAGTGAGTTGTTACTCTATTAGCAAACTGATAGTGAGCATAGTCAGGATTGTTCCAAAACCCTTTTTCCCAGGCCTTTGCTGGCTTCTTAGGCTTTTTAGGCTTTGCTGGCCTGTACTAGAAAAATTCCTAGTTTGCGGTAAAGCCAAGATTTTGTCTGGCTCAGCCTGGCTTACAGGTTCATCCCTAACTCCCTGTGAAACAGACAAGAGCAGGCAAGAACAGGGCAGACAGGATCAGATCAACCATAACGAGCCTAGGGTTGCAGTAAAAGATTAATAGCAGAAGGTTTATATATACTGTTGTGCTAAATGCATCTGTTTGGCTTTCTAAGACAATACATTAACCGAAGCTGAAAAACAAAAATTAATCACTTGGTCGCACTTGGGTAATTAAACCGGATGGAATATCCAAAAGTAGAGACGTTTTCTTTAAAAACTAATCACGGATTCGAATTCTTTGACCCCGAAAATCCCCTGGTGCAAATTTTCAGCCCAATCGGCCTCAAAAAAGTGCTAAATCCAGGTACGGTCTAGCGGTCGGAAAAAAATCACGAGCGTCGCCTTATATACGACTCCTTTTAAAGATGTTCAGCCGTTTAATTGATTTGGTAGCAAATTCCCCTCAAATGTAAAGATATTCAATTTACTTGGCGTGCAAAGAGGATTTCTCCTTTTACTTTGCAATTTACTCGACTAAAAGCGTCGAGTAGTCGAGTAAAATAATAAATCGAGTACTGATGCAAATTTGGCGCGAATAATTACTTACTCTCGAGGAACACAAACTTTAGTCGCAAATGTGTTAACCCCTTTTTAAGTTACCCTCACCTAGATGCTCTGAATATCTGCCTTGCTGGTACATTGCATGTCATACAGGCCCACGCTCGAATGTACATCAGAATGATTAGCTAAACTTTTTGTAAAACAAAAGATTTTGAGAAAAACCTTGATATTATTGATGAAAGGCAGCATTGGTACAAAGAAAAGCTCCATCCAGATCATTCCCTGATTGTTGACAAGGTGAAGTACATTCTCGGCCACTTTGAACTCTCCGTATTCTGGCTAAAGCTCATAGTTTGGCTCACTTTGAACCAAAATTGATTCATGGGTCAGGGATTGTTTTGAGCAGCTCTAGGCTGGCCACAAAATTTAGGATGAAGGTCAGACCAGGCTATGGAAAGCCCTGGCTTGCCCTGGTCTGGAGATTTGGTCCAAGGTCTAGCCCTGGTCTGGAGATTTGGTCTCAGGTCTAGCCCTGGTTTGTTTACAACTCTAGCAATTCTTTGGCTTCAAATGGCTTTCCTATTGAACTCTCCGTATTCTGGCTAAAGCTGATAACTTGGCTCACTTTGAACCAAAGTCTTTATCGGTTTTGTATTGGAATTGGATGGTTCTACAATTCTACATTACAATAAAAAGAGTCATAGAACCAAGTTTTCTAAAAGTTAGCGTTCTTTTCGTCCTTCCGGATTCCCCAGACAGACTTATCCAAAAATTCATCGGTTCCCAACACCAGATTTCACTCCAGGTCGGATTCCCAAGCGTACCTTGTTGTACTGGGTATAAACCGATTTTGAATCGAAAAGGGAAACACTTAACAAACGATCCTTTGCCAAAAGAGATGCGATTATTGGTAGCGGCAGAGAGCGCACAGAAAACTGAGAGAAAGAGAGAACACTCAAAAAAAACATGGTGTTTTCCCCTTCCCGCCAAAACTTTTGATTTTGACATAATGATGGAAAATATGAGAGAAAAAGGCGTCAACTGTGCAAATGAAATTTAATAAAGATTGTTTAGGCCTGTCACAATCATATATTTGACTCTTACTATTGTTAGTTCTCTACCCTGAAAGCCCGTCATAAAAGCACCCTGAAAAAGAAGACCTGGCTTCTAGCTTAGTCTGCAGTGAAGCCTGAGGTTAGTCTGGAGTGAAGCCTTGCCTAGTCTGCAGTGAAGCCTGAGCTTAGTCTGCAGTGAAGCCTTGTCTAGCCTTGAGCTGATTTGGATCTGGCTTCTGTCCTAGTCTCTTAATTGCCTTACAGACTTTAGAACCTGATTGAAACATTCTTGAACCCAGCAAAAAACGTTATAAGTAAACTTTTTCAGCTCGCACTCTTTCCTCGTCAACACCGGTGATGGCTTGCATGTGGCGTTCAAGGCTTAAGCCGAATTTTATGTTACTCTTATTTTTGGCTCACTTTCAATTTGAAAATGAGAATAAACTTTTCAACTTATCGAAAAGAATACGCCAAGAAAACACCAAGAAACTTAAATTTTGACTGGAAAAACCTTTGCAAAGTTTTCCTTACAAAAGCAAAACTTGATAAGGATTATCTTAAGCGCTTAAGCTCAGAAAAAAGTTCATAAAAAGCTCATAAAAAAGATAAAGCAGAAAATTGATATAGATATTGATTTTAAAAGGAAATATTGAATCACCAAGTTTGAAAAGAAATCCCATTTTTACCGAATATTGCACAATCATTTCCTTCTTTTCAATGAGTCATTGTTCTCTTTTCTCTTTTCTCTTTTCTCTTTTCTCTTTTACCCACTTTAAAGCTAACTTTCTTTTTTCACTCTGAATCTTTTGTAGAGTTCACTTTTGACAACATTTTCCCCTTCTCCAGATTGAAATTTCAATTCAATTCAATATTTAACTTCTATTCAAGTCTTGCATGGAATACTTTGAGATGGGAATTGACCAAATTCTGCCCCATTTGTGGATAAGCGATCGAAATGCTGCCTCAAATAAGCGAGTTCTCGAAAAATACGGTAAGCAAGCATTCTTTGAATCTTTTGGAATAAGAAACTCTAACTAAATTTTAGAAACTTTTAAATTTGAAACGATTTAAAAAATCTGTGACACACATGATAAGCCAAATTGCAAATCTTTGGAGATAGAACCATTGTGGCAAAACCATTTTTGGAGATAGAATCCTTGTGACATAGCCACTAAAAAAGTTTTCTAGTGCCAGTAGTCTGAAAATTGGAAAATTATTGAGGAAATCCAAGTGTCTTCATTCTATTTCATTGTTGTTTTGAAGCTTGCTTGCTGAATATCTGGCGTTTAAAGCCTATATAAGGCAACGTTTAAAGCCTATATAAGGCAACGTTTGAAGCCGATTTAAGTTCATTTGTCCTCCTTTTCATTTTCGTATGAAAGTTTGTGTCCGAGTTTGGACGAAATTGTATTCTATTTATTGTCTCTTTTAATTCAATTGTCGATTCGTGTAAAAATTGCTCAGAGCTCTAAGAGAGCTCTAATTCTAAGAGCTCTAACTTTAAGAGCTCTAACTCTAAGAGAGCTCTAATTCTAGGAGCTCTAACTCTAAGAGAGCTCTAACTCTAAGAAGAGAGCTCTACCTCTAAGAGAGCTCTAACTCTAAGAGAGCTCTAACTCTAAGAAGAGAGCTCTACCTCTAAGAGAGCTCTAACTCTAAGAGAGCTCTAACTCTAAGAGAGCTCTAACTAGGAGCTCAAAATTCCGAATCGATTGGCTATTTGAATAAAGAGTGCATTCTTTTAGTTCAAGAGAGTGAAAATCAAGTGAGATCAGATATTTCAAAACAAGAAATAGCGTGTCTTGAGTAAGGAGTACCGAGCACGCAAAATAGTATTTCTTTAAAACCATCAAGTAACCCATTGCCTCGTTATTTATTCCCACTTTCAATTTACAGAAATTGCTGAAATTCTAACTGTTTGCTCGGATCCAATTTCGACAAAGAAACAATACGAGGTTTGAGCCTAAAAAGCTAAAAGTATTTGCTTTGTCCAATTTCAGCACATCAGATATCACCACATCGCATTAGATGATGTACCCATGCAAAATATTCTCACTCGATTGGAGGAATTGTTGAGTATTCTGGAAGGTTTGCTTCAATGCTCATGTAAATTGAATCGTATGTCGAAAAATGGGTAACTAAACCGAGCAAATGTTAAATTTGGTAAATGGAAAGATTATTTTGAGTTTTTGAAAGTTGAAAGTTCCAAATTGAAAGTTGAAAGTTGAAATTGAAAGTTCCAAAAACGAAGTTGATCAATCGTTTACCCGTTCCCGAAAACTCCGAAAATTTGTACTAAATTGATGCAAAAGAAATTTCGTTTGGTATGTCAGCTCCGAGCCAAACTGATATTTTAGTTACTATTTTTCTTATTGAATGATTTGTCTATTCTTATGCAAATGTGTTCTCCCCTGTGCTTATCCCTTTCATCGCCGAGAAGGGGCGGTCCTTGGGCCTAGGAGAGCCTAGGAGGACAAGCGAGGCTCTCACTTGGAGTCCCCCCTCCCCTTTCACTCATTTGTAATCTATTCGTCTTATCATACTACTGTAAATAAAGAGACATATCTTCCGGGTCTGCAGTTCAGGTCGATCATTTCACAGGGACTCCCCTCTAATACGTTGGAGGAGTTAAGTTGGGTTGTCGGGGTGTTAGAGATGGCGGGATATCAAAAGGATCCACTCTCTTTAACTTAACCCAAATTCTAGTCCATATCCGTTTTATCTAGGAACGGATAGGTATGAAATGCTCTATTTTTCAATCTGGAAATCTTATTTGATTTTCTTTTGTATATTTGTACTCTTGGATATTTACTTTATTTTTTTCTAAGTCTAAGTTTTCTGTCTTTTCTAAGCCAGAGCTTTCACTTTTTAATTGATATTTGCTTTAGATCATGGTGAATCAAAAGTATGTTGTGCACGCGTGTTTTCTCTACGATTTCAAGATGGGCAAAAACGCCGCCGAATCACATCGTGATCTCTGTTCCGCTTTTGGAGAACAAGTTATGACCAAAAGAACCTGCCAGCTCTGGTTTGCCCGATTCCGAGAAGGTATTGAATCTCTTGAAGAGGAATCACATGGGCATCGCTCGGCAGCGACGATAATAATAAATTGGAACAACTTATTGAAGCCGATCCAATGCAAACAACACAAGAGCTTGCCAAACATCTCCCGTGTTGCTTACATCTCAAGAAGATTGACCAAATTTTGCGTCAAAACAATTTAAATCCCTCGACTGTCAATTTTCTTCGTGACAACGCGCCAACTCACACAGCGAAAGCTTCTTGTGTGGAGTTAGAGGAATTAGGATGGAATGTCTTACGCATGCGCCATATAGCCCAGACTTGTCACCATCTGATTTTCGCCTCTTCAGATCGATGCAACATTCCCTTGCGAATTGCTAGTTTAAGAATGCACAAGAGGTCGAAATTTGGGTCACCAACTACTTTCAATCACAGAATCAAGAGCTCTTCGATAAGGGGATCCGCAATCTGAAGCAACGTTGGAGGGATTTTATAGAGAACGATGGTGCTTTTTATTTCGAATAAATTGTTACCTAAAGGAATTTTGATTTAATGCTTAATGTTTGTAAAATTCGTAATTTCTTTTGCATCAACCTAGTATATCCATTTCTGCAAAACATCTTTGCTGACCATTTGCTTTTGAGAGTCTGTTCGCAAGAATGCAAATTCTTTGAATCCGAGACTCAGCCTCATCTCTCGCTTCAACCGAAGTCAGCACAGCGTTCCTTTTCATCGTATCAATGATACTTTCCAACTCATCAACGAAACTGAAATACGAGCAGAGTCTTTTCAACGCTGCACAACACTGTGCCTCTTTCGAATCGGCACCGTTTTGCTCATTGCAATGTCTGAGGTCTTTGGTGATCTTGTTTCCAAGCTTGTTTCCAAGCTCGTTCCCAAGCTCGTTCCCAAGCTGGTTTCCAAGCTCGTTCCCAAGCTCGTTCCCAAGCTTGTTCCCAAGCTTGTTTCAAAGCTCGTTCCCAAGCCTGAGCTCGTTCCCCTTTTGCTGATCATACATTGCTTTCACGTTATGCAGAATATCATCCACCGTTTTCTTTCTCATTTCCATTTTCTTTTTATTGTGATAGCGCTCACTATGACCATATACACATTTCTGGCTTTGGCTCATGCAGGCGCAAACCCGGAAAATCTCGGCAGAACATTGTAGCTTCAAATCTCTTTTCAGCTATTTTCAGAGCAACAGAAGATCCACTGTGTAAAATGCAAAGAATAAAAATGAAAAGTGAGCAATAAAAAGGGAAGTTCAAGGCTTAGAAAGTTAAAGGATTTCAGATAAGACCCAAGTTTAGTTTTGTTAACAATCATTGGATATTGCTACTCGTCAAATTTGTCACTTTTCATTAAACTTGATGTGAAAAGTCTACTTGACTTTACTCTGAAACTATCTTATCCATAACTAGTCATTGTAAGCTTAGATTTGACAAGAAAGACGATTATCATTTAAATTGCAAATCCATTTTTTCAATTTTAGAAGCAATCTGTGCAAATCGGAGCATTTTGGTGCATTGCGAGGCGGGAATCTCTCGAAGTGCCACCGTTTGTTGTGCATATGTGATGAGAAGGTGAGGTTATTTTACAGGATGACAAGAAATAACCCGTCCTTACATTTTTCACTAAATCCTCCCAAATACTGCATCTACGTAAAAACATTTTTTATATCATAATCTAGGCTAAGATCAGAGTTGAAATCCAAAATTTCAGAGAACAAGCGTCATTCTGTAGTGAAAAAATAGAGCGACCAGTCGCTCTAATACTACATTTGCGGTAATTCGACTTTGTACTGCAATTGTTCAACTGTTTTACAGGGTGACATGAAACAATCCTTCTGTAAAGAAATATTCTTTGCGTGCTTGGTACTCTTCACTCAAGACACGTTATTTCTTGTTTCGAGATATCTGATCTCACTTGAACTAAAACACTTTATTCAATAGCCGACTGATTCGGAATCTTTGTGCTCTCACTTGAGCAATTTTCACACAAGATCGACAATTGAATTAAAAGCGACGATAAAAAACAGAAACAATTTCGTCCTAATTAGGACACAACTTTCACACGATGAGAGGAAAGCAGTAAAAAAATGAAAGATAACAACAAACAAATGAACAACAGTTGCCTTATATAGGCTTTAACACAAGATACTCAGCTAACAAGCTACAAAAACAATAAATGATTTTGGGCGCGAAATAGAATAAAGGCGCACCGATTTCCTCAATACAGTCGAACCTCTCTATAACGAACCTCGATATAACGTAAACCTCTCTATAACGTAAGGCGTGACCGGTCCCGGCCGACGTTAAGCTATATAAAACGGCACTCTATATAACGTAAACCTCTATATAAC